TTTATAATACCCCTAGGATATTTTTCCCATTTAAAATCATAATAAACTTTTTTATTCAGATTATAACTATAATTAAGCATACAATTTTTATTTCGCGGTATTTTAACTGCTATATGATTACATTTGCTATCATATAGTCAGTGTAAGTCACAATTTATAGCTATATGTCCCGTTTTTTTACACTTAAAACATAAACGAGACCCATCCTGATTTGATTGCAATGAATCAACTTTATTTATATCTAGGCCTGAAATTTTCCTCACGTTTAAATTTTCTACATTAGATTTTTGTAATGGGAAACCCATTTTAAAATTCTCTTCTTTTACAATGTAATTTTTGGAATAATGACCTTTGTAACCACACCGATTACAAATCATTTCCCCAACAGTTTTTGGTAAAAAACTTTTTCCATTTGAAACAATTTTATCACCAAATTGTTTTTTATCACCTCATATTAATCAATTTATATATATCACTATATACCTCTTTGATTCTTTAATTTCTTTTAATTCTTGGAGGACCACCACTGATCTCTCCACACATTCTTGAATATAAAAATTATCTGACACCACAGTACCTTTTTTCAAATCAATACATTTCTTTAGTAAAAATTTTACTAAAATAAATAATCCATATATTAGGACCAATAATAATAATATTGTCACTAACGAATTATTTAAATCAATTTTATCACTTTTATATAACATTTGATAAATAATACTCAGATACTCCGGAAATTTATTAAACAGGCTAGGCTCAACGTCAAAATTAAGCATAAAGCCCATCTCATTATCTTAAAAATTTATATTACTGTATATTTGCCGTGTTAAAAAAAATTTTCAAAATATTAAAAAAATTTGCTTTTACTTTATACAACCTAATTAATCTAGAATTTTATCCTACCAAATTTTAAAACTAATTAATCAAAAATATTTATGGATAGTACTTGCGTTGTGTTCCAAAAATTTAAAATATTTATAAAAAAAAATTTTGGTTTTTACCTTTTATTAATCCTGGATTTCGGATCCTGGGAATACGGTTAACACTAACAAAAATTAGTAAGTAACAAATTATAATAAACTTAAACTTGCTTTCAATAATTAAAGTACTTTCAATTTGTACGAAAAAAACAACTTATTTCATAAAATTCGTAAAAAGAAACAAGACTCAACTTATAACTAAATATTAAATTAATAAGAAAAGACTTTAATACTAAATATTAAATTAATAAGAAAAGACACTAAATATAAAATTAATAAAAGACTTCAAAAATATTTTTATTTTATTAATTTCATCAAATTAAAAATAAAGCGAAAAATTAATAATGAATGAATATTCATTTTACAAAAAAAATATAATCATAAAATGTCAATCACTAATGATTGATATTATAAAAATATTCATATGAACAAAGAAATATCTTACAAACTAGGACAATTTTAACTATTCTTTTGAAATTTATTGGTATATCCCATAATTTATCAAGTTTTTCACTATCTATATTTTTTATCATGTTTTCTGCATTTGTCTATGGTAATCTCGATAAGCAATCCCCGATGCATTATTGTATAATCGTGAGTTACCATCGCCAAATTCTACTTTTGTAAACGCATCGATATGGAAGTATTTTCTTTTAGTGCTTCTGAAAATATATATATGAGTGGTTTATGATCTTTAATTATAGTAATTTTGTCCCAATTAAGTATTCTTGAAATTTCTTCACCGCGTATATTATAGATAATGCATCTCTTTCAGTATTCGTATAATTTGTTTCTGCTTTCAACAAAGTTCTTGACACAAATGTAGGTTTCTCTTTACCGTCACCTTCAATGTGAAATAATATGGCACCTAAACCTTTTTTCGAAGCGCCAGTTGCAATTCCTTTGGTAAATTAGGGTTGTAAGAATTTAGAGTTGGCGGACTACTAATCAACATTAATTATGAAAACTCTTCTGATGTGCATCTTCCCATACCCATTTTTCTTTGTTGACTATTTTATATAACGGATCTGCTGAATCTGCAAGTTACACAAAAATTTTCTGTAATAACTAGCCATGCCTAAAAATGTTGCTAATTCCTCTTTTGATGTCGGTTCTGGCATGTTTGTAATAGCTTTGATTTTTTCTTCGTTCGGATGGGGGAGACCTGGGATGGTTGGGACATTTTTCGTTCAAACCTTAATAATTGTAATATTAATAGACTAATCTGAATAATTAAAACATCTTCTGAATCTCAAAAGTATAGGCTATTTGAAATAATTAATATATATTTTATGATGATTATATTTTTTTAGGAAATTGAATTAAAAAAAATTTTTTTTTGTCCTAACCATGACAGACTCTGTGTACGTTGGAACACACATTGTGATAGTTGGGATACTCATGAAATAGAGGTCTAAATAAATTTAAAATTTTTAAATCAGTAATCCAGTAAGACTAGAGACTATAACACATTTGATTTTATTGGTAATTCATAATCAATAACTATATAAAGAAAATTTTAGCAAAATTTAGGAAATTTATTTTGGAGAAAAAAAAATTGTAAAAAGAAAATTGTAAAAAAAATTTTTTTTTAATCATAAACATAGTGAAAGATAAGTATTTAATTACATTTATTGCACATAAAAAAATTATCAAATTTGGCACAACTTCCTTGTGCCCATCCAATACAACCCATGCATTGGTACCAATCTTCCTTTTCATAATTTTTTTAATATTTTTTGTGACATAAAATGCAAATATTTTCATTTATTTTTTTTAATATTTTTAGTTAATCTGGACTTCTTTTCATCCTCTTTGTTATTACCCAGAGGTAATATAAGTTTTTTTGAGATTTTGGCTCTACTTTTTTTTATTTATTTTTGTTAATAGGATCTTTTTATAAGGCGAAGATGTAAATATTTCAGATTTTTTCCTTCTTTTGTTATCTATATTTCTCACAATTTCGGGAAGTGGATATATATTCTCAATATCAAATAAATTATCTTGTTTGTATTGACTTATATCATTATAATTTAGAGAAGTTGTAGCCTCTTGTGGCTATGAGGCCAGTAAGGTATTATTTTCTAAATTTACAGGGGGTTCTGATGTTGATATTTCGATTGATGTCTGACTATTGTCTTTAAAAATTATGGGTAAATAATCAATTTCTTCAAATATATCAGAATTATAAGGATATATGCCTGTTAGCTCAAATGATTTAATAATATTTTTAATAGTTAGGGCTAGAGGTAATATATCTCTTGCTATTTTTGGAATGTCATAAATACTAAATAATTTATTTGGATTGCTGCGCATCCAGTAGCCTACAGAGTTATTATAATATTTTTTTAATGGCCCAAAAAGCACATGTCAAGGGGTTGCATTTTATGAGTGGTGTGTGGAGGTAAGGAGAGTAAGATAATACCAGATTTTAAGCAAAAATCTATGGCACCAAGAGATTGGATGATTGTCTAGAAGCAATAAAAAGGCCTTTCAGGTAGTGGCCTCACATGATCAGCGAAGTGTTCTAAGTAATCCATAAATTCTGCTTCTTGCATCCAACCTGACCCATTTGAGCAACCTATACAACCATTAGGTCTATCTCTTATAAAATGATCAAAGAATTTTTTCCTTGGGAAAATAAACATTGGCGGGATGGTATTTCCTACAGCATTAATAGCGAGAGCTAATGTTAAAAGGGTTCCTCTCTCAGCAGATGTCATAGCTGCAACTTGCTTTTGACCTCTCTGAGCTATTATTTTACTAGGATTTTGAACAGTTGTTAACCCACTTTCATCCATATTATATATTGCGGATGGTGGTAACTTATATTAATCAATAATGTCTCTGTATAGGCTAAAAAATAAATCTACACTGAAACAAGATAATTTATTTGATATTGAGAATATATAACCACTTCCTGAAATTGTGATAAATATAGACAACAAATGAAGGAAAAAATCTGAAATATTTACATCTTCGCCTTATAAAAAGATCATATTATCAAAAATAAATAAAAAAGGTAGAGCCAAAATCTCAAAAAAACTTATATTACTTCTAGGTAATAACAAAGAGAATGAAAAGAAGTCCAGATTAACTAAAAATATTAAAAAAATAAATGAAAATAAACAAAATTTTATTTTCTTAATTCGTTATTTTTTCTTTTTTTACTTTGTTATATGTAAAAATAAAAACCTTAAAATAAATTCTTTTTCTTTAACCTTAAAATAAATTCTTTATTTTCTTAAATTTTTGTATATGTAAATAACTATAATATAAAAAATGTATATATAGGATAGAAATATGTCAAATAGATAGATATATATTTGTTAATAAATTAAATTAAATAAAAGAAATTAAATTTTTTTATCGTTGCCTTCTGTGTAGTTATCATATACCATTCGAGGAAGACAAAAAAACCAATCTCCCCTTCGGCCTCTATTATCCTAGCGAAAATTCGAGAAATATATTTCATTTTAAGCAATTTTGAGGGCCATAAAACCATAAGCGATAAATTTTTTAAAGATCGTGTGTTGTAATATATTTTTCAAACGCAGCATCCCCCAATGAACCTAGCAACGTATATCTCAGAGACCTGCAGGCCCGGCCCTAAGCCCGGCCCAGCCTGGGTACACGGGCCGGGCCGGACCTGAAAAATATTCGGGCCGGGCCTTATGTTTTAAAATCAAATATTTGAAATCGCCATTATTAGCTATAAAAATAAAAAAAACATATTTAAAAAAAATCCAGGCCGTGCCTGAAATTTTTTAAAAAAAAACCCGGGCCGGGCTGAAAATAATTTTGAAAAAAAATCCGAGCCGGGCCGGCCATACAAATGGTACCTCTGCAGGTCTCTGGTAAATCTATTTACAATATGTAAATCTAATCTGATATCAATTAATGTTGCAATCATAACCATAAAAAAAATATTTTATTTATTTATTTATTTTTAATTATGTTCTTTTTACAATTAAATCTCCAAATAAATAAATATTTTGAAAATCAATTTTATATTCAAAGGTGGAATATTTATCCTCGTGGGGTGTAGAATGGTCCGAAGCCCAAAACACGATCACGTCTTGGCCTCTCCTCTTACCCTCTTATTATTTGGCTCCCACGTTCTGTACTCTCATTTCCTTTTACAAAAAAATTGATCAGTCTCCAGAAAGTGAGGAAAATTTTTTCAAAAGTCTTATAATCAATTGTTGGCAATCCTTCCTGGCCCGAATTCAAATGATTGTTAGCTTTACTGATATCGAATTTGACGAAAAAACCTTGCAAGAAGATATAAATATTGCCAATCTACTCTTTTTAATGTATTTGTTCCATGCCTTACCCACGCTTTCCGATAAGGGAATAATATTTTCTGCCGTCCGTGATTTGATAATAGACCTTAGTCAACACAATTCAGACCCGGGGTTTCATATTGATTGATAAATATTTTATTATCTTTAAAAATTCATTATTATTTTTAGTTTTGTAGCTATATAATTATTTATCTTTTGAAAATAAATAAATGTAATATCAAAATAATATGGTGTCCGAATTTCCCCTTCCTCACTGTTCCCTTAGAAATTAGTGACAATAATTTATTATATTTTAATAATTATATTTTATTATAAAATTATTTAAAAAATGTTTTTTTTACCTAACACAATTTAGTAAACCAGTCCATATCATACTCATAACGCGAATTTGTCTTATATTCGAATATCTCATGTATAATTTCTACCAAATGCCGGAATATTTAATGAATCAAGTTTATAAAAATTTAAATCTTTATTTTAAAAAAGGGGGGGGGGACAAGGAATTTAATTAATAATTTTATTTTTGCATGTGTTTATAGATCAAAATGCTTATGAATATACGTGAGGTTCGAACCGAGATTGCTTCCATTTTTTTATTCGATAAAGAGCTTCAAGAAAGATTGGAAAATCACAAGGCACTGTTGGGTATCAAAGAAGGTAAGATCATTATATAATATCGTTGAGAGCAAAATATATCTGTCGATACTTTTGATCTTAACCAATACAAGTGACCGAACCCAAAAGAGGAATACATTGATTCTTTTAACATCATTTTTTAGGCTACGAACAAGGCTGTTAACTTTTACTATTGTAGCAATTCGAAAATATTTTTTAAAAAAATGATTTTTAATAATGTTTTTGACGAAAACATTTAAAAGATGGAGGGAACTAATCTCATTTTTACCCCCCCCCCCCCCCCAATAACACTTAGAAACAACAGATCCTAGATACTTCACGCTCCAGAGTCACGAAGTTTATGACATAAATGGGCAGCCTAAATTGGATTCTCTAGCAGCAAAATTCTTGGTTACCGCCCTGGATTATAACGCGTTTTACTGTTCCTTTGTTAAGCTGCTGGATATCGGTGCGCATTACGATATAATATACAAGGAAGGGAACGACACGAAACAATCTTTTCTATTTTATAAGGTGATTGATATAAATATTCCTGTTATAATATTTCCAGATGGTTCAGTTCTAGAGTTTGACACCAAAACCAGAACTCCTTTCTTTTAAATAGCTAGGAACCGAAACCGGAAATCATTTGTATAAGAAAATGTTCTAACGGAAGTTTCAAATAATTTATATAGCATTTTATCAAGCTTCATTTCAAACGTGAAATTATATCATTTTACACCTTTAAAAGAAAATAATTTTTGAAACTTAATAGTATTCGCGAGGAGTATAAAAATATTTATATTAAATGTTTGGGATTGAGAACCCACTGGGACCGCGTCAAATAAAAGAACCAAAGGTTGGAAACCCTCAATTTTTTCTTTTTAAAAAAACTAGAACAAGAACCTTTTTTTAAAAAAATGTCCTCAACATGAACCATTATGTTTTTAGTTCAAGTTTAAAACTCCTGGATTATATTTGCACATAATTCGACTAAACATATTATTCGTTATATAAAGGCATTTTAACATCAAAGATGTAATTCTCCTTATATTCTTTTCCCTAGATCGCTTGCGATCTCGAATATATGATGACCCTTCTTTGGAGAGTGCTGGGAAATTTACCACCCTCAAAGGAAATGATCGCTAAAATAGCAAACATGCCCCACGAAACATCGAAGTTCAAACAATCTCAATCGATACTAACGGAGCAAGATGATAAAAACGATATTCTAGTTTCTTACTACGAAAAGTCTGATAATCTCGAGTACGAAGGCGGAAAAGGATATTTCATGACTTTGTTACGCTGGGCCAATAGGCTAGATATCAAAAGCTCTCCCTATCTCTCTTGGGTTAAGGTTTGTATATATATATTCATAAATACTATTATAAGACAAAGAAAGTAAAGAAAAAAAAGAAAGAATGAAAGAAAAATAATGATACATGATATAACTGGGATTATTCTAAAGATTGTATATAAAAATATTTTTATTAATACATAATATATATTTATTTGAACCCAAAAAATCACCCCAAAATAATACCCCAAAAAGTGCTATATGTCCAAACAAGGAATATCTCTTTTGAAATGTAACATTATGTTGGCGAAAATAGTGCGTAATCACAAATATCTAGAAGATTATTTAAGTTTCATGATCAACGTCTTGTCATATCAAGTAAGCTATCAGATTTTTTAAAAATAACACTCACAACCTTTATTATAATTTAAATTATATGCTTCTTCTAAATTAGAGAGCTCATAAACTTATGCGTCCAAGTCTTAGATCAATCAGTGATCATCCTAGATTTATTTATACGGAAAAGGTGGCAATTTCACTTTTAACGAATAAAATAAATTATACTTAACAATTGTCAATTAGTGAAATTTCCTATCTTTACCTAAACCCTACATTTAAATATATATTTTTTTACTTTTCGTTATTTCGGAAGGAAGGAAAGAAAGATATAACAAAAATTTAATAAGAAAAAAATACAGCGTTGTATATAGGGGGTTATAAAAAAAAGATGTATTTAATCGAAACTTCTTTGACAAATTAAAATTATTTCAAAAAAATGACATTTTGTTTTTAAAGATAGTTTTAAACCTTGTATATTATAAAATCTCATATAACCTAAACCTTAACTAATTTTTTTTTTTTTTTATCTGGGGGGAAAAAATGAAGTGTTTTTTCGAATTGGTACACGCTTCAGAACAAGTCATGTGTCATTTGCCAATGCTTAAACATATGTTCTTAATTGACAGTTTCATGTGTAAATTGATTATCAATTTGGACGAACTCAAAGACGAAAAACAAGTATATAAATAAATGTATCTCTTTCAATTTGAAATATTTTTTCTTTAAAAAAAATTTCCTTCTTTTTAAAAAATTTTTGGAGCAAAGAGTTTAAATTTTTTTTTTAAAGAAGAAAGGTTTTTGATCAAATTTTACCCAATCAATTGCCATTTTATATGTAAATCTTTTGTTATTTTCATGCATAAAAAATCCTTCGATTACAGATGATCACTACGAAGGATTCTACCTTCGTCAGCAGATTTTGAGAGAAATCTGCCTATCCAATTTCTTAAGCTTTTACTTCTCGATCCCCTTTTTTATAGTTCGTATCAATTTTTGTTTTAAAATAAATATACTATATTGTTTTTTTTATAGTTTGACAAAGAAAGATTACGAAATTGCAAAACTTACAAGAAATTTATACATCTTCTTTTGAACCTTATCAAAATGTTGCACTACGCGATAAAGTAAATTACGATTTAAATTGGAATATTTTCTTCAAACACTACTTCATATTAATTAAAAAAAAGAAGTTAATATTTAAAATTATGAATATATCACATCTTACATCAAAATCTCTCAATTTCTAAACACTCACCCATCTCCCACCTTAGCAATAACCCCCCCCCCCCCCCTTCACTCTCCTCATTATATATTAATATGCCAAATTATAAATAACGTTTTATTTTATCATATATTTGTATTCTAATATTTTATAGGCGGGAAATATACCAAAACTTTATAACCATAGAAGCCCAGCATGTCAGATCGTCTCACCCCTTTCCGAACCCCCCGAATTTTCACATATATTATGATCAAGCCATAAGATCTATAGCCGAGAAGATTTGCATTCGCAATATCTCGCACACCACGTCCCCCTCCCTCCCAAGCCTTTTACAACAAAGTAGCGAAAGCGAATCGCTGAACAATGCTCAAAGTATTACCCACAACCTTCCGCAAGTCAAAAAAGCTCCGAAAGAACGATACCTCACTAACACGGTATACTACGTGAATTGTCAATTGGCAAGCCTAAGCTCGGAAAATCTCATCAAATATTGTCTACTTCAACCAAAAGACGGCACCAAAAAGAACCGATACTATAAAGGCGGGAACAGCAACGCGTACCCTCAAAGCGATAAATCTCAGGCTTTGGTATCGTCGCTGCTATCTGTGACCCTAAGCTTTTGTCTTGACAAATGGAACTCCCTTTCTATAGAAAGTTTTCCACCCTATATCGCTGATTCACCTTGCAAAGAAGTGCGCCACTTTAAAAATATTCCCTTTTTTTATAAAAAAAATTTATTGAAAGAAACAACAGGATAGGTTTTCTTTAAATTAAAGAATTAAAATTCTATAAAGATTAAGGTTCAGCAATTATTATTTTGGTTACGCTTATATAGTTCTATAAATAATTTTAATCTTATTTTTTTAATATAGTGAAATTAGAAGAACAAGACAGAGTTTATAATTTTACCAAAATGAAGAGTATACCTAACCTCCGAATTTAACAAAATTTATCGGGGACTTTAGTTAGTTGTTCCACGACAAAGTTTTTGGAAATCAGGATAGGTACTCTTCACATGCTAGAATCCGGTAAAATGAGATTTTATTAAAAAGGAATTTAAAAATTGGCATCTCATTTAAAATCGAAAGATTCCGAATAAGGTTACATTCATAGACTCTGATACAGCACGATTTAACGGCTGATTGATTTTTAAATATGTTTAAATTTTTAAAATTAATTTTATCTTCAATTCCGTTCATGATACAAATCGAAGAATTATCGCTTTTAAATAAAGAAGAATTGATTTCATACAGATTTTAAAAATCAATCAGCTTTTAAATCGTGTAGGATCGGATCCCATTATGAATGCAGTCAGTGATTGACAGATGCTATTGCATTAAAATTGTAAGGTTTAGCTGTACAGTTTTTTTATAATGAAAAAATAAATGTCCCCTAAAAAAATGTTTTTATATATACAATTAATTATCATACATTGTATATTGAAAGAATACTCGCAACAATTCGCAGAATACTGATTACGATTCTTATCTATCATCGGTTTTCACATCTCACATCAAGCTTCTAAGTTTATTTTATCAAACACATTAATAATATCTAGGTTGCTGTATTAAAGTAACTAGTTACATTTTTGTTAATAAAAATTAGCCAGCTATATGCCCTTTATAAGAGTGTAACTTGTAACTGTAACTAGTTGACAACACTATCAATATTTTAGCAAAAAAATATTACCACAGGCTTAGCTTGGATACCTTGCTCATATGGCAGAAAGATTTCTATATACCCTTTATAAGGATCCAACTTGTAACAGTAACTAGTTAAGAATATTAATAATTCCAAAAATTAGTGTCTCAATTTTTTATAAACGGCTGATCCAATATTTCGGCAAAAAATATTACCGCGAGCTTGGAGATTTTGCATAGATGACAGAAAGATTTAGACATCTATTAACGAATCTCGAGGCGTGCGCAATATTATTTTGGCTAAAATCTTAATTTAAAATTCGCAAAATCGAGCATTTTAACAACACTAATCATAATACTAATGGAATATCCTTATCCCTCTTTTTCTTTCTGGTTTTACCTGATTGATTTTAGTATAAAAAATACTCACGCTAGTGTTCGGCTCACATCCTAAACTTATGCGAAAAAAAAGGATGGCGTTCCCCGCCTTATATTAATAATAATTTTATAAAAATAATAAATGTTAATTCATCTTAAAATTTCTAAAAATATGTATAATTATTTTATGCAGGTATCAACGGATTCGATTCATCAGTGTCATTGAAACGTCTTTTTAAAACCTCGCTTATCCTTTTATCTAAACTCCTAAAGTAATTATATTCAAATTAAACCTTATCATTTGTAACTCGCGTTTTTATATTTTAAATTTGATTTGAAAAAAAAAACGGATATGAACCCAAAAAGGGTTCAGGAATTTAAAATTGTTTCGTTAGACATTTTCAGTCACAAATGACTTCTCGACCTGGTACGGGTACAGGTTCCTTTAGGAAAATAGGTTTCGATTAAAGTTCCCTCCTATCAATTTCCGCTATCACATCCATTGAAAAAAAATACTTATATATTGTGATTGCCAGTTCTGTAATAGTGTTGTCGAAATTTATAAAATGACGAAATCAGGATCTTAGCCGAAATGAATATTACATAAGCCTCGAAATTTGAAGACGGCCTAAATCCTTCTGCCATATGCGAAATCTCGAGGATTAAGTAATATTTATTTTAAATAAATTATAGATTTACCTCATTTTCTAAATAATTTGTAGCTAGATCGGGTTTTAGAACAACGCTTTGCAGAAACGCCCTATGAAATAAGGTTTTTAGTAAGAGTAACAGCGTTACATTTTTCTTAAAAGTAACTTTTAGATCACTGGTAATTTTTCTACATAGAAAATACTTTAAAAAAAGATACGGCTATTTCAATGTTTTTTCCAAAAAAATATTACGCAAGCTTATAGATTTTATTCATAAATGGCACAAAGGTTTGGACATCTTAGCGAAATCTCGAAGCTTAGGCAATATTGCTAAAATATTGAGTTAGCCGTTTTTATAAATCGGCTCAAATCTAGCTGTTTTAACAACACTAATTGTACCTTTTAAAATAAATAAAATAATATGATTTATCAGCTTCATGAGTCTTGACAATTGCGAAAACGATGTAAACGACTTAATGTTCCCCATATTTTTAGACGCTCGCACGGACTACATAACTAATGAAGTATATACAAAAATATGATATCAACTTATATTTGTGTGCTATAATTTTTAATTAATTTTTTTAAATCAGATAATTCCGAAATTGGAGAAATATGTTGGAGCTACGGGAAGTCAGAAGTTTAGGTACAATTTATCTTTTTACGCGCTCAAAAAGTGCAAAGAGATTTTGGACACTTTAACGAATGAAAGGTTATTATCGAATTAATAATAAATATTGTAAATCATTCAATCTATAAAGATGTATAAGAAGTAACGAGGAGTTTTTTTAAATAAAAATGTTATAGACTAAACATAATCATTAAAAACCCTCGATAAGAGCTAAATTGAAATTTTAGCCTCACATTTATAATACCCTAACCCTCGAGATTTCACCAAAGCATGGTAGGAAAGTGTTATCCTCTATAGGCGAAATCTCTAGGATTAGGTAATAATTTTTCAGAGGTTTTTAACAAACTGTGTTTTAATGATATTTTTGTTGCTGAAACTAAAAATTAAAGGTTTTTAACTTTATTGTAAGAGAAAAGTGAATTAATTAACTAGCCTTTTTAGGAAGACAATTATAAATTGAAATGGTTTTTTTTTCTACCTCGCCTTGCTCACAGTTGTATTGAATACTAATTGCACTTATGGTCAAAGGTTAGGTTAAAACAATACTGCGTGCTATGTAACAAGAATTATGATAATAACAAGATCCTAAGGGCCAAGTTACAATTACGCATCGGCCTCTTATTTCATCGATTACATTTATAAGTCCTAGTTTTCGTTTTATTTCTTTTTTAAAATTATGATTAGCCATCTTATAGTTATTTGTAGATTTAATTTTTTTTTTAGAAATAAGTACACTTTTTAAGTGTATTTTAAAGTTATCCTCACCCTAATTTCACAGCGTAAAAAACTCATATGTGGGGGGGGGGAGAAGTGTCCAGGCCACTTTTATGAATAGAATTCAGAATTAAGAACAAAAATCAAATTAGGGCGAAGCCTAAAACATTACTAGTTTTGAAAATAAAAATGATATTCTATGTTTTATTTTATTATTAACCAGTTTTCCCAGTGTACCTAAAGATATATTATTATGGACTGGGAGTAGAGCATTGAAAAAATGACCCCTTTAAAGTTGTAGACTAGGAGTAAGGCTAACCTTGGTATAGATTTAGATAAGAAACGACTATATCTATGCTTTCCCTCCTCTTCTAAGATTAACGAATATGGGTGTAATGTAATAAAATATAAGAATGTATATTAAAATTAGCTATTCGAAAGAACTAAATATTGATTTGCGCAAAAAGAAATTTTATGAAAAAAGTTGGATTAAAGAAAATTTGTAGATTTGAAATTTTATAAATAAAGTTTCGGTTTGTTTTTACACGTTAAAATATTATATATATTTTTTTTTATTAGTTTTGCCGATCAAATACGTTATAATATTCTCGAGCTGATGAAAAATATAATCAAAAATGATTTTGGCGTTGAAACATTTTTCTCCATTTTTAATTCGAGTGAAAGTAATTTATCTACCATTTACTTATTTCCATTACACATTTACATTACTTACCAATTATATGTTAAGCAATGAATTATATAATTTTTTTTTACACTTTAAACGTTTTGCATATTTTTATTTTTTGTAAAGAAAGAAAAAAGAAAAGAAAAGAAAGAACAGGGGTATGCCTTAAGGTTGGTCATGGACATTTTTAAAGCATACCCTCCAACAACCCCAATTTGCTCCTTTCTGCAAGATTTGCTATTAGATTACGACTCAATATAGACAGAAAAATAATTACTATGCCAGATGCAACGACATCTTTTTACGTGTTTGTTCAAGTCTATTCCTGCGGATTTAAATGAGCGCAAAATAATTTGATATGCCGTGGGAACGGCTTCCCCACCCTTGTTATCTATATACTGGTTTCATAATGTTTACAAAGGAACAGTAGAAAAATTTCGCAGCTGAGCCGTAATTCAATAGCAAATTTTAGCTAATCTGCGGAAAGCAGTAAGAGGTTGTTGGAGGGTTTGGTTTCCAGAACCTCGTAGTATCCTTGGTTCAAGTAGTTAAAAGTATGAATACAAAAAAATGAAGGAAAGAGGAGAGTAATAGTACATATTTCATTCAAAATTTAAAAAAAAACTTGCACTTTTAAATGAATTAAGGTTTGCTAAAAAAAGCCAGATTTGTACGAACATCTTACCTATCTATTTTTTTTTCTCCCAAGATTATATGAGCCTCTTCAAGATGGTTAACGATCCTAAAGGGTTAACTCAGTGTAGCGATAGCATAAAGCACTCTCTCCTAACCCTATTCACTTGCGCCTTCCAAAATTTGTCCCATTTTAACGCGACCTCCGTTTACATGGAATCTCTAGACAATTTTGTGACCACTTTTCTAATGGTGGAGGAAAATATTGATTCATATTTTCACAAATTACTGGGCATCCCGACCGAAGAGGATATAACGAAAGTAAGGACACTTAAAAAAATTAAAAAAAAACGATTATTATCAAATAAGCTGCTTGAGTCAGAGATCGTCCTATGTCACTTTTTTCACGCTGCGTTTATAAAATGCTATTTATTTTTTTGTCCAAGATAACAAGCTAATTTGTGTTTCTAAATTTATATAATAGAAGTTAAGATATTCTTAATCAAAATTTAAAAGATGACTTAAAACTTAAGTGAGTTATTTTCGTTATTTTATTATTTACTATTAAAAGTTATCGAAATATTATATTTATTCCTAAAAAATTATATAGTTTTTTTTCCAGCGTTTTAAACGCTGCATAAAATAAATTATCTATGACGAGTTTTTTGTATTTTTTAATTCCATGAAACTACACCAGGTTAGGTTGGCCCATCAAAGGCAGTTAACTTCTTGGTCAACATTAAAAGGTATTGAATACCTTAGAATATTAAATAGAACCTTAGTATGGAGAGGTTCTACCAACTTAGTGTTGTTAAAATAAAAAGATGATCACATATGGAACTTTCACTGTATTTTAGCTTTTACACAACTAATTAATATAAAAAAAATTTACTTTAGGATAATGACGTATATAACATGGGAGTGATTAGCGAGAATTGCAAAAACTTCTATAGCTTGATAAATTACTCATATTTACATAGCAGGTAATTTATGTCATTTTATTGATTATTAAATTTTCATACAATATAACACGGGTTTCGCCCTACCAGAAATCTTATAATTTACAATTATGTACATCTTGTATTTGTAATTTTTCATAATTAATTTGAACATTGTATTTTAAATTTTAAAATCAGTTGATTTTAAGTTCTAATAACCCCATTTAATACGCCCTTCGCAACTAATATAGATTTGAATACCCGCTCGTGCATTTTCCAATATTATAATAACGGTGCGGCGTGTACGGATATTTAATTTGATTGGCGTTTTATAAGATTAAAAGGACACTACTATTCTAAGCAGCGCTATTTAATTTAACAATTTATTTTTCAAAAATTAATAAATCCGGTTTATTTATACCAGCGCCCATTTTACTAATTATTTGGGGCTTTTCAAGAATTTGTAATTTTTAGTAAAAAATATTATTTTTAATTATCAAAAATATTATTTTTAATTATCAAAAATATTCGGACCACATTAGTCTACTCCTACCTTTGACCTGCCACGAAAAGATCCTCTCCTCCTTGGCCTCAATAATGATAAAGCTTCTTTCTCACTTCAAAACCTGTCCCACGTCTTACGAAATATACCTGGCGTGCTCCCATCTTTTTTTGTGTCAAAATAAATTCGCGTTCGCTAGCAATCAAGTTGGGGTCATAAAATTAACGCTATTCGCTACGGAATTGCTCGGGACCTTGGTGAAGGATCATTACGTTCGCGACTTTTTGAGCCCTCGCCGTACGATTCACAACGCGTCTAAGGTTATATTATAACTTACTATTATATTTAATATGATTTATATGTTGGGAATTTAATGCGAAATTTACAGTACTGTCAATTATCTTCAATGAAAATAACATCATCGGGTTTTTTGAAAAGGTTTGAATAACGATCTCCCTCCCCTCTCTCCCAGATACAATATGTTACTTATAAACAGTAATTTAATAATGACTAATTCAAAACTTTCAGAAAAAAGCATATAAAATAATAAAAAAAGTGCAAAAATCAAAAAAATATTTTTTTAAAAAAAATGTAACCTCGACAAATGTACTGCAATAAATGAAACTAAAACCAGGGTTCTAGACGGAATTTTAAACTCTATTTAGCCGAAATTTGATAACGGTAACTTAAGCGAAAACCGATTTTCTAAAGGTCCAACCCAGCTAAATAGAATTCAAAATTCCTGCGAATTCGGGCCCAGAACCCTGTCTAGCCCTCCAATAAAATTTTATGACGAAAACCACACCCTAGCAAAATCCTGGCTATCCTATGATTCACTCTGAATGCTTGTTTTTTAAAACGATGAATAATCTTTTATCGTCCACCTCAGACTCGTCCACCATCTTTCCACGAGCTTTTGTTTTATCGCTGAAATCTGCTAGACATATTTTTTTCTTATTTTATAGGCTAAAGTTAATTTATTTTACAAAACAAAAACAAACCAAACGTTTTTTTTAAAGATAAAATTGACGTTTTACATGTTTGAAAATGCTATTCGAGAAATTTGAAATGATATTTTTACGAGGCAAAACTATTAATACATATTGATTTTTCTAAAATTTTTTGTGAAGGACTTTTACGTATTTTTATGCTACGTCTTCACTTTTCTCGATTGTATCTTGACGTGTGTTCAACCTTATTCGGAAAACATGAATTCTTACAACGATTCGAACAAATTCGGGGATACTTTGGATATATATTTAAAAGTGAGCTTTGGCTAACTTTTTTTTTGAAAAAAAATATATAATGAATTATAAATGGGTTAAATCAATGAAAGAAAGAATGAAATATAGAAAGAAAAAAAATGAAAGTAAGAAAGAAAATAAACACTATCATACACTTTATGATGGGAGGTTATTTACGAATAAATTTTATATTTTTAAAACGATTATTTTAGTCTAACGATAGAAATCATACGTTTGACTTATCGGAAGAAAATTTTGAAGATTCTTTATCCGACGAATCAGTAATGTTTATTAGTTCTTAATATAATCTTTTATTAAAGACTATATAATTTTATCGAATTTTATTAAAGTAATATAACTAAGTTACACGACACTTATAAATTCATCTTCAAGTGATATACATTTTTTTTTATAATTTAAAATAATCTAGGAATATAACGATCTCAACGTTGATATATGTACTTTCACATTCACGAACAAAGAGTTTATCGAACAACATTGGTAATAATCTTTTACTATAGAAGAATCTAATCAAAATTATATTATTAAGTAACACTAGGAATATTTTTTAAAAAAACTTTTTTTTTCTGGAAGCCGAAACCAAAAAAAAGTTTAAAATTAAATCTACAAATTTTTTTTATATTCCTTATAGCCACATCCTTTAAGGATCAAAAATATTCAGTTTTTTTAAAAAAAAAAATCTTCTAGGTGGTAAAATTTAACATTTTACTAATGAAGCCACAAAGAATTTTTATACATTAAGACAAAAAAAACTAAAATCGAAATTTTTAGATATAATTATATGGTTCCTTTTTGGGAACAGAATGATTAAATCTATAATTAATTAAAAATTCATTTAAATGTAAGCTTTGTTATAGTTTCAAATAAATGAAATTAAAAAAATAAAAACATGCTTAAAAATTTCGTCAATAATTTTTTTTCTCTTCTTTTTAAGTTTTTTTTTCTCGTTTTTATATGTTTTTTTCTCTAACTCAATCTTAAAACAAAATCTTAATGAATTTTTTTACTAACTAGAGCAAATTCAACTTTTTTCTTTAGTTTTGCAATATTTAAGTTTTTTTGGAAATATTTATGACCTTATTATTTGTTGAGAACATTTTCTAACACAAATAGATCCCCCCTTCTTTTTCTTTAAAACTGGAAACTTATGCTACGGATATGTCCAAATCTGATCAGTTAGACCCAGGCAGGCATTCTTTGACTCCGAGTCATAGCTTAATTTTAAAAAATTTCGTTCGGGATGGATAGGGACTTAGACACATTTTAAGCCTTTTTTCCCTAACACTTTTTTTACTTTCTAGTACCTTTTTTTAATGGTGTGTATAAACTTTAAAAGTGTCCATATATAGAAGTCCGGTGTAGCGCCATTTTGTGGTTTGTGCATTGATTTATCGTCTTTATTTATCTAACCATAAATGAATCGCCAATCTAGTAGTACTATATATACATGGAATATTAAGTTTGGATCGGATTCTAATCTTCGTAAAAATAAATCGGTTTTTTGAATTGGCTCGGATATTAAAAAATAGGCTCGATACAAATATCTAACCTTTTTATCATTTATATGCTTTCAGAGCTCTGAATTTTGAGATGATGGGTATTTTTAAAGTTCGTTATCAAATTTATTGGTTAATTTAAATATTTATTCAAAAAAATGAATATCGCTAAAGGTATAATTGCCACACATGCTCTATGGTAGACGGGGTAGGCGTGTGCAGCCCTTGCGCCAGAATTTGCCACAAAGGGCACGACGTTACTTATTCCAAGTACGGCTCTTTCTTTTGCGATTGTGGCGCCAAGGAGGATGGATCTTGCAAAGTTTGTTCATTTAAATCGCCGTCTGATTTTGAATATTATTATTTTTTAATGAGATATCTCAGAGTTCGTAAATATAAACCTCAAAAATTTTTTTAAGATTTTTTTTGCCTCAAAATTTTGAACAAAATTGCTTAAAAATCACAAAAGATTTATTTACAAAATGGATTTGGAATTTTTGGTAAAATTTGATCAGAATCCTGTTTGAACATTCCCAAAAAAAAATTTTCATTTTAAAAAATGTTGAGAGATTAAAAATCTTTTAAGATTTTTTTTATTTTAATGGAGTAATTTTCAAATTCCCATTACAATAAATGCAGTGTTAAGCTTCATATTTTTTTAAACACAATTTCGGCAATTGAAAGAAAGAAGGAAGAAGAGATGGAAAGAGGAACTAGCCACATGAAATATAAAATTCGCGCAACTAAAAATCGGTTTAATTTGAAATCGAAAAGTAGGATACGACTTTATACCTTGAAATAGATGACATATTTCGTCCACTATGAATACGATATAATTTTTATTAAAAATACCAATAAATAATCATAATTCTTTTTTTTTAAATAATAAATAAATTTTCCCTGCAGGCTTTAGTTATCAACAACAATGTATCACTATCACCCGACAACAAAAATAACGATTTAACATCCAGTCACGATGGCGACCTTAGCCGTCACCCCTCCATAAAATTGTTATCCACTAGATGTAGAGGTATAAGCGAATGTTTGGAAAATGACTATAGCACTTTTGAATCTTTAGTCTCTCGTTGTAAATTTATCAATCCAAACTTACCCTATCAAAGCCCCGGATCCAAACAATTTTCGTTTTACACCCAAAATCAGATTAATAAGTTGAAACAAGAGGGCACCGATTTGTACAACGCTTTCATTGGTCAGAAGGTAAATTTTTTATATATTTTTTAATATAGATTATAAGGGATAGCGATTTTATAACTTTTCATTCTTCAAATATAATATTTTTAATTTGAAAAAAAAAACTATACGCTCTCAAAGATATTCGCCAAAATTAATGATTGCGTTTCCCTTTACGTTCATCATTTTATCAAGTTTGTGGATTCCTCCAATATCCTTGACGACAAGAGCTCTTATTTTACCCAATCAACAGTTGGCACTCCATTGTCCCTTCTTTACTATCGTATTATCTATCCCCTATCATTAAAACTTGACAACGACGATTCCTCACAAGTTGAAGGAAAAAATGGCGAACAAGCCATCATCGAAACTTACGCTAAGAATGAACAAGATTCCTCGTCGTCATCGAGCGATATTAATGAAATATTGGGCAAACCTTTAGCCATTCTGGGTTCCAAGTTTTCACTCCTCACGGGTCCCGACGTCTCGTTCCCTCCTTCCCTTTCACTCGATCACTACGGATCCAACAATGAATCAGACCTAGGTCATAAAGACAATTCCGGATTGGGCAATAGCAATGTTATCATTCGTAAAGCTTGCGCGAATGGTAGTGGCAATATCAATAATATTAAAGGGCCCGCCATTATGGTCTCCCTAAGACCTTATAATTTGCGCTTCGCTAGAGCCTTTCCCTTAGATGATGGCCCGTCTGACAACGGCCCATTTTTGATCGTAGCTTCTGATAAAGATAAAGTTAATACATTTTACAAATTATACATTTGAGCTTTAGAAAGCGGGGGGCTAGTGTTCAATTTATCCAAAAAATGTTAGGCCGGTTACCGTACAAAATGCTCAAGCTTAGGCAGTTGTAATCGTAGCATTTTATATTACTCGGAGAGGAAAAATATTCAAAATTAAATATATATAATTCACCATTTTATTGATTCATTTACACAAATTTAAAAGTTGGCGATGTACCGATCCGACAATGTAACAATGGCGGACAGCAATTCCTTATCGAATCCTATATGGAATCTTAAGATGCCCTTCTCCATCAATTCGTTAGTTATTCACCCAAAGACCAATCAACATATCGCTATAATCGGAGATCAGGTTAACCTCCATTTTTTTAAATATAAAATTTTAAAATATCATAAACAGACATTTTGAAATAAAGTAGGCCACAGTTCTGTGAAGGAATGGGAGATATCAAATGGATTTAAGAAAAATTGTATATAAGAGGGGCGGGGGTTTCTAAAAATATATGCTCAATTATAATCGATATGTTTACTTAATTTTGTAATTAATAAAACTTATTAAAATCGCCCTTTTTTAGGACATAATTATTTTGACAATCGATGAGAAAGCTACACTAACAGACAGATACCATTTATCCCCCTCGAACGATACATTTGTATCCCTTACTTCCGACGCATTAAATGCGAAACTAATCTTGGCGCAACGCACCCAAAGTGCTATATTGAAAGGTGTTTGGTTGACACCTTCACGCGGCGCCATTAATCAATGCCTTTTTAAATTGGCGGTTTTGAACAAGGATTCTCTCAAAATTTACGATTTTAATGATGGAAATTTGTTGAAAAGTAAGAATATCAAAAATAAAAATATTCCGCTGGAGTATTCGTTCGTTATACCTAACAGTTCGATGACGGACTCTTGTTGTATCATCGAAAGTGACGGGAGTCTTTGTATACTCATAATGTCTCAAGCGAGTACGCAAAATTAAATCAATTCTTTTTTTGTTGACCAACTGGATTATAAAGTTAATATCATTATCTGCATAGGTCCTACTAGGACATTTTAAATCATATAGCAGTCACCCTTTCATAATCAAAATTATTTATTCTTACATTAGCATAGCCAAGGGGAGACGGGAGGGCAAGAAATCTGTTTATTATCCGAATCCTTCTATTTCGGATGTACAGAATCTTAATTTCTAAGGTTTAGATTATAATTTTTTTTAAAAAAAATGATTGACATCGAATACCTCTGATCTAGTTTTAGACCATACAACATACGATTTTATGGCTAAGCAATATTTATTTGTCTAGGTGTTATATATTATCAACCTTTAAACGATGAGGCTAAGTATAATGGCGTGCTTTTTTATGTTACAAACGCTATTTACATTGCTGGAACGAGCGATTCTCAAGTTTATTATATATATATATATATAAAGAAAGAAAGAAAAAATATATACTATAGTTTTTTTTTAGAATTATGATGGGATCATCTAAGTTTTCTAATATGTCAGCTTTGTTTTATAAATAAAGATATATATATTCTATAAATTTATTTTAAAATCATTATTCTTTTTTTTGTTGTTGAAATTGTTCCTTTTTGTTGTTGAAATTGTTCCTTTTTGTTGTTGAGATTTTTCGTTTTTTTATTGAAATCGTTTTTTTAAAAAAAATAATTAAAAAATGGGCATTAAATTTTAAATAATTCATAGTACGTTATTTCTTTCATTTAAACGCCAGAGCAAATTGAATCCTTTATTCGGGGGCGGAAAAACGCTGTACTATTCCAATTCATTAAATCTTATATTGATGAGCTTCGTTGATGGCACGACCTTATTAGCTAAATGCTCACGTGATACAGTTAATGGGAATCTTGTTTTGGATATAAGATACAATATACAGATACCGAAGATAAAAAAGTCAATTTTGAAAGAAAAATACTTAATTAAAAAAATTCGAAATGCAATTAAGTGGCTGATTTTAAGATCGATTAATTATTTCTTTTTAGGGATATGACTAATTTTTATGACCTTTTACTGTTAGCAAAAGTTATATTTTAATTATAAAATAATGTCTTCGAAGGTTAAATTAGAACCATTTTATAATACTCCTCGCTTATTAATCCTTAATTTCTCTTCAAATTGATACATTGAACGGCGCAGGCGCATCAGTTTTTATTGTCAAAATAATCTACTATTATATATAATTTTTTATTTTTTTAAATCGCATATATATTTTTATTTTAGCGCTGTATCGATCGGTGCTTATTACGATTTAAATGAAATTCCTGAAATTCCGGGAATTATCACCTGTAAGACAGCTGTCAAATGGAACAACGAATCGAATGCGCAAACGAATAATACCACGACTAACCCGATTACGAAGATGGGCGATAAAGCTAACAATAAAGACACCCTTAAAAAATCCCTGGACCAAGGTCATCATACTGTGAGGCACATCATATTAGGATTCACATGCAACCAAATCCACGAGGATCAAAGGGATAGAGACAATAATTTTGATTTTACTGGAAGGATGTATTGTTGTGATTTGATCACCGACATGGAGCAATGGGAAATTCTACCAATTTCATTTATGATTTCGGAGAGTTCTACGGTAAAATTAAATTTTATATGTGAATTAATTACTCACTCCGACCATCCATAAATTGCTTTGATTTATATAGACGTTTGATTATATTTGTTTTGTCAAAACCACGGTTAAATCCATCTCCCCAGTTTTTTAAAAATATGGTAAGTAAATTGAATTGAGATTACAAAAATGGTTCCTATCCTCGCATATTATTTTATATTACGCAACCAGATAAGCGCGTTGACGGTATCCTCCAACTACGCGATATTCGTTTTATTCGAAAATGGAGACTTGATGACGATAGATATGATGAGACCGGGTATAAATCCAGTTCTAGGCTACATTACATGTTTTGAAGGTCCCCTGGCTCCATTTACTTATAAACGTGGCTATGGTAAAATTTATGTTGGAAACAGATTGTATTTTAATTTCTATACACTTTTTATTAGTTGTATTATAGATATAAATATATGAACCTAAATTTGTTACAAACAAATTTTTGTAAGGAGTGTCTGGTCTGGACTGAACCAGCCAATTTTTGGCCAATTTATTTATTAACTCAGAGACATGGTCCGGGTACAGCTCAGATAAAAATAATATCTTAAGCGAGTTAAAAAATTAAATTTAAGTGCACATATAGGCTACTCTCCAGCGACACTTGAACTTTATTTTTACATACAGTGCTCCTTATTGCCTATTATTTTTCTCGCAACAATTTATTATGACTATATACTTATATTTAATGTTGTAAAATAACGTCGATGAATTAGTTTTTTTTAAAAAAAAGGAACGTCATTAGTTACTACCTTTTCTTTTTTTGAAGTAACATTTACATCACTATTTATATTATCTATTTATCTTTCAGATCTTTCGGAGAGTCCCTATGCTATAAGATTTGACAAACCTCTGAAGATCATCAAGAATGACGACGGCAAATCATTCTTGCCCACATCGAAGGATCTTAAATTAAAAAGTAATTGTAATTATATCTCAACATTTTTGCAAAATAGAATTTTTTTTACGATAAATCAATTTTACAACTTAGTTGAAAATCTCTTTCCCTTCAATAGTATTTATGGAATTATTTGCGTACATAAAGATTAAATACTTTTTTTGTTCCATTACCTTTTTACCGGAAGAAGGTAACTTATCGACAACCAATACCCATCTCTCTCTACCTCCGGATTCTCCAGATTATTTCGAAAGCTGTCAACTTTGTACCACTAAGAATTTGGAGTTCGGGGGCTCGGACTTTTTAGAAATTTACGACAAGGCTAAATTAGTCCAAAGGCTCACCACACCCGGCCTCTTCGTGGCCGTTATTCCTTTCAATAATCAGGGGAACGCGTCATCGAAAAAGGATGACATCAACCAGATGTTCGCCAATATGAACCAATTACTTCAAACATCGTCTAGCAAAGGCAGTAAAAGGGCTCAGAGAAGGAAAGACGAATATGCTGTTATCTATTATTTTTATAAATAATCTTCTTTAAATAAGGGAGGAGAAAGAAGCAAGAGGAAAGAAATTAAAATAATTTAATCCCTATCTTTCTGTTTAACACTCAGTCTATTTTCCATCGAATTCTTGTTATTTTCGGATATAGTATCATTTTAACCTGATATATGTGTAATTTTTTCTTTTATATATAGCGAGATTACGTTAAACTAGAAATATCTTTGGATAAATCTTCTCCGCCTGAGAATGATATGTATGTAGCAGGATTACAAGTTCAAATCGGTTGTCATTCTTTGAATCGCTCTCCGTCTTATTTGAAAATTGGGAAGAGGACCATAGAGGTATTATAAAATTTCAAATAGAGCCTAGAGTTTGTTATGAAAGAGAATAAGAACAAAAGAAAGATAGAAAGAAGTGTGCATGGCAAGCTTATACAATTTTTTGGAGTAAATAAAGATTGAGATATATTAAAACGTTTTTTTATAAAAATTTTTATTCTACCGCAGATTAAAAATTTAAAGAAAAGTAGATGGTACGATATTGCACTTAGTCAAAACGAATCTTCAAAATTTGGAAACTGCATCATCCTTAGAAGTTTAATATGTGAAATATATTACTTATATAAATAGATAGTCTTATTTTTTTTTGTTATATCAATTCTATTTAAACATAATTAAATATGCAAATAATATCCCGCTTTATATTTATATATATAATTCTTCTCAATAATTTAGTTGGTCACAGTAAAGATCCTAGAAAGATAACTATCATAGACAATATCAAGGTCTACTGCAGGAATTATGTCTCGAGCGACAAAAAGGAGTATCGAACATCCGAAATACTGGTCTTGAAGTCTAAACAAGACGCGTTACACCTGTTCGGCTGGCAGTTAGTATTAAGAAGACCATTTCAATTGGCCCCCTTAAAATTTTATCCGGATACTAATTTGATAAACATGTAAAATATTTTTTCTTTTGGCTAACACTGTTGGAGAGTATGCAAAAGAAAGAGATAAACAAATACGCCTTAGTTATTAAAAATTCTGATTTAAAAAAATTAATATTACCGAATTGAGCACTAGAAAACGAGCCACTATTTTAATAATAATGGCATCAAGCACGTGTGCCTCCCTTTTCTCTATTTACCTTAATTTATCAATTCAAAAAACCAGTCATTTAAAACTATTTTTATATTATTTGAACTATAAAAAGGGTTATATGCTCAACTTTGACAACGATGCTAAAACTCGTTGCATTATGCAAAGAAAAGCCTTTGAATGACCACTTGTCAATCAAGGAATTATCCTCCAAGTTGATCAACTTATTTCATTGCCATTTGAGCCAAGACATCTATAAAATCATCATAAAACTACTCGACCAACTTCTACCCTTCGATGATTTCCTCTATCAAAAAGTTAATTATCTATTAATTATTGATAATTTAATGTGATATTAAGCGCCTAGTCTTAAGCGTCCATAAATATAACAGAGTTATGTATACAACAGAGTTATGTGTACAACAGAGTTATGTATACAACAGAGTTATGTATACAACAGAGCAAAGGTTGGTTCTCTCATGAAAGCCAGAATGGGATAAAAGATGGAAATAATAAGAGGACCATCCACATTTTTTGGGCCGGTCGCAGTTACCTGTAACGCGCAAGAGGCAAAGCCACTTACTTATACACCCATGGGAAATAAGAGGAGAGGAAATAAGCCCAGACCCGATTAAGTAAAATTTTATTAAGGAAGGTTATGTTGGCTATGTTAATTTTACTTTTATTTAACATTGTGAGAACCTAGAAGTAAGCATATAGATTTAATAGAATAGAAAAACCGATATAAATCTAATCACTTATTTATAAAGCTAGTTTTGTATCTATACAAAATATATACTAACAAAAGTTATCAAAAAAGACAAAAAGAACTTACTTTCAAGAAAAATATAAAGATTTTCAAAAATTATCGTACAACTTACCTCTCAATACAATTAAATTTTACCTAAAAATTTAAGACAAAGACAATCAATATAATTCGACACTTCAAAAGTTTATATTTTTATTGAATTTTGAACATGAAATAAATGAAGAAACAAAAATAATTTCAAATCCGAAGAAAAATTGATAATTAAAAAAAATTTGATTAAAAAAATCGTAAAAAAATTAATGATTTTTTTAAGCATAAATTAATAATGAATAAAATGCTTTTACAAAAAAAAACGATAAAAATTTTATCATAAAAATGATTGACATTTAATAAAAACAAATTATAAAAAAAATCTTACAATTTATGACATGCCACCCCTTTATGGGCCTATGGCACGCATATCAAAAAAATAATTGAATATAATTAAATACTAATTTTTTATGGGAATAATCTGTAAGTACTGCGGGACTTTGCGGGAGACATAACGGTAGTAACAATTGATTCTCCCACAAATCCATAGCTTCATTATTTTGTGGAAACATCTGGGACCCCGAAGTACAAGGAGCGGTCTCATCGAGGGTGGTCATCGCTCTTCGTAGGATGTCCTCCGCTGGTGGTGTGGAAAAGAGACTGGATCGAGTGATGGAGGTTCCCATTATCAACTTCCCCCCGTTAGCAGATGGAACTGGATGAGAGGTTGGAAGCTATAGTTGGACGGGCGTTGGGTTGCGCATCCTTCGCTTACTACTTCCAGCAGACTCGCCCAAAGAGTTATAATTGATCTGAGTTAGGGTGGTGCGAGAGCCTCTACCGATAGCACTGCATTGGCTGCGGATATGGCCATCACTGTTGCAATGTAACATCGTCGCTTCCTAGGTCCAGCGGAGGTCGTTGCATTGGACATGTTTATTGAATGGTCATTCCGGTATTCTTGGGGATCAACGTGATTTGGACGTAGCACCTCCCGAAATCAAGGAGTTGCGACGCGAGAATCTCCTCACAATTTTCCAAGAATATTTATTTTTAAATCTTTTACAGTTACAATTAACAAACAAGTTGGGAGTTTATACAAATTTATAAATTTGCCAAAGAAAGAAAACTTTTAATAAATTTTTCAAAAAAAAAACTTTTAATAAATTTAAAAAAAAACTGAATTTTCAAAAAAAACAACTTTTAATGAATTTTTCAAAAAAAAAAGTATATATATACATGATAATGTTTTGTGTAAAAAAAAATTATCACAAAAACAATTTCAAAATATTTTTACCCTCGCTCCACCTCATGGGATATTACAAACTGGATGAGGCATATAACATATTTTATTTACAATCATTCATTATTTCTCACACGTGCCTCATGTATTTCCATATTACTACCAAAAATACCCATTGGTGTAGGCGACAAACAAAGCCAAACAAAACTTATCTACACAAATATTAGCTCAATCAGGCGAATCCCCCAATCCTTATTCTTTTCTTCTCTAATTTACTTATAAAAGTAACGGCAATTTTCAATTTTTCGTTTTCAAATGACCGCTTCATCCAGTATGTAATATCCCATGAGGTGGAGCGAGGGTAAAAATATTTTGAAATTGTTTTTGTTTTTGTGGTAATTTTTTTTTTACACAAAACATTATCATGTATATATATACATTTTTTTTTGAAAAATTCATTAAAAGTTTTTTTTTTTTAAATTTATTAAAAGTTTTTTTTTTGAAAAATTTATTAAAAGTTTTCTTTCTTTGGAAAATTTATAAATTTTTATAAACTCCCAACTTGTTTGTTAATTGTAACTGTAAAAGATTTAAAAATAAATATTCTTGGAAAATTGTGAGGAGATTCTCGCGATGCATACTAACTCGCAACTCCTAGATTTCGGGACGTGCTACGTCCAAATCACGTTGATCCCCAAGAATACCGGCATGACTATTCAATCAACCATGTCCCAAGAAAATGCAACGACCTCCGCTGGGCCTAGGAAGCGATGATGTTACAACTGCAACAATGATGGACATATCCGCAAGCGAGTCCGCTGGAAGTAGCAAGCGAAGGATGCGCAACCCAACGCCCGTCCAACTATCGCTTCCAACCTCTCATCCAGTTCCATCTGCTAACGGGGGGAAGTTGCTGATGAAAACCTCCAGTGCTCGATCCAATCTCTCTTCCACACCACCAGCGGAGGACATCCTACGAAGAGTGATGACCACCCTCGATGGACCTCCTTGTACTTCGGGGTCCCAGATGTTTCCACAAAATAATGAAGCTATAGATTTGTGGGAGAATCAATTGTTACTACCGTGATGTCTCCCGCAAAGTCCCGCAGAACTTACTTACAGATTATTCCCATAAAAAATTTAGTATTTAATTATATTCAATTATTTTTTTGATATGCGTGCCACTGGCCCATATAGGGGTGACATGTCATAAATTGTAAGATTTTTTTTATGATTTGTTTTTATTAAATGTCAATCATTTTTATGATAAAATTTTTATCGTTTTTTTTTGTAAAAGCATTTTTTTTCATTCATTATTAATTTATGCTTAAAAAAATCATTAATTTTTTCATCAAGTTTTTTTTAATTATCAATTTTTCTTCGGATTTGAAATTATTTTTGTTTCTTGATTTATTTCATGTAGTGTTGTCGAATTATATTGATTGTCTTAAATAATTTCCTTGTAATTTTAAGAGGTAAGTTGTACGATAATTTTAGAGTCTTTATATTTTTCTTGAAAGTAAGTTCTTTTTGTCTTTTGTGATAACTCCCATCTTTTTGTTAGGGCTAGGTCTGTATAGAGTGGAATAGGATATATAGATACAGACTTTGGTCTTACAGAAATCATCATAAAAATCACGTCTGTCCGATAGATATTAAGGTAAAAGAAGGGTGTGTAAGACCGGCTGCGAAATATTATAAAAACTTGACCTATGAGTATGGAAAATTACATTATCTGTTTGTTACATATAATATAGATTTAAAATAGTTGAAATAATATCAAAGGCATACAAAGGGAAATATTGTATCGAATAACCAACTAAACGTTTAAAAAAGAGTTAGGTTCAGGAATTAGGTCATTAAAGATATTGCATTATTTAGGGTAATTTAATTAAAGAAAAGCATACCTATAGTCATACATAAACAGGCAAAATGCCGAGATTAATAGGGAAAATTTTAGCGACGTGCATGAGCTAATAGGATATAAATACAACCATGCTTCGCATAACCATTTAAAGTGGCAGGGTCTAATTTCAGGAATATTGGGTGTGGTTGAATGTATAGGGCAGGCTAAGAAAGTTAAGTAAAATATTTAATATCGAACTTATGAATATTATTATTGAGGTTTAATAAAAAGAAAGTATTATTTGAATCCACTTTTATTAAAAAGGGCATATCTAGGTTATACAGAACCAGGCTACGTCTTGTAATCACAATAACTTTTGTTCTTATATCTAGGAAGCCAACTAAGAGCTTCATAAGCCAAGATTTGTTCAGAATTCCTCATTATATGTGCAAAAAACTGGATTTTTTTTATGATACCATAACTGGGGTATGCTTATATAATTTCCATAGAGAACATTAGATATGACTCTAGGATATATGTAGCCAATAAGTCTCAGACATCTATATATGAAAACCTGTTAGTTTATGCTTCCGTAAAGAATAATGGGAATGATTATTGAATTGAACATTTGAAGTCTACTTTTTACCGATATTTCTCTAGTATTCCAAAGTTTGAAATATTTGTAAAATGTAAATTCGCATGCTTTCTCATTTCTACCTCGTTTTTTATATGGTTTGTATTGTTCAGATTTCCCCGAGATATAATTCCTTAACTGATTATATTCCTATTAACGATTACATGATATGATTAGAATCTATTTCTGCCCATGTAGAAGGCATAATAACTGTTTTATTTAGGTTTATGAGTTTATTAATTTGAATACTATTGCTTATATATATTTTAATTTAATAGATTTGCATAAGCATGGATATTATTATTTCATCATCTGATTCTGAAAATTCAAAATCAGATGGATTAGTATTGCCATGGTCCAAATATGATAAATATTTTACAGTAACATTCTATATCTAAAGAACTAATTCAATACTTACCAAATGTAAAATGTGCCCAAAAAGTATTATATCAGTTTTAAAATCTTCAAGTTCTACTTTAAAACGACATTTGATTGTAATATTAATTTTTTTATTTTATATAATATAACTAAGTAGACAGTTAATAATTTATTTTATATAATATAACTAAGTAGACAGTTAATAATTTATTTTAGATTTTTCTAAGTAAAAATCATTAAATTTTATATATTATATACATAGATAGAAAATCCCCGTTTTTTAAGATATTAAAAATTACAAAAATAATAAAATAGGAGAAAAAATTCCCTATAAATATATCCATGGAATAAAAATCCTTAAATAATATATTTTAAAATTTTGAAAAAATCAATTCCTGAGAGTTATTTTTTTTTCGGGGAATTATTTTCCGCTTACCGTAGAATTTTATATTTTTATTTACAATATAAAAATATTTAATGATAAATTTAATATTGTTTTTAATAAATTCCCCTCGTTAAAAAGTTGTTTATTAAGTATAATACTACTATCCCCACATCTGTCCCTATAGAGCGCGTTTTTAGTATAGCTAATGCCATATTAACTGCCTAGCGTTCCTGTTTGTGAGATGAAAATTTTGAAAAACAATTGTTATTAAAAATTTATAAGAAAATATTTTTATAAATAAAAATATCCTTTTATCCTATATATTGTATTGTATTTATTATGATTGGAACTTTCCTAGCACATTATTATTATTATGTTTATTTATCTTTTATGTTTACCTTACAAGTTCCTCTACAATATAAATAATATATTTTGTAATATAAAACTAGCTTTATTGAAATTATTATAAAACAATATGCAAGTCTCGAGGTTTTTTTTACCCCCCCCCTCCCCCCACCTCCATTTAAATTCCTTGTCCCCCCCCCATAAGCTGAAAGAAAATTCACTCTAAATGCCTTGATATTTTTTCCTGCCAATTTCATTTAATTTATCTCAACCACGACCTGTAAAGTCTTCTTTTAATAGACTACATTTTGAAATATTTCATTTTTATATATTTATTTCAGGATAGAATATTGATAGAGGTTGCCTTCTCATATATCAAATATTGTGCGTCTTACTTTTATAACCCCACCGAATCCACCGATTACCATTCATATCCCGATATTATAGCCTTCACCGATCTTATAGCTACCCTGAGAAGAATTTACATGCTTAGGCCTGCCCAATTCGCATCTTACGCCTTTTCTTCACAAATTCTCAGCCCCGATACCCCTTCATTTAAAAATGATGAAACGAGTCTATCATCCTATTTAGACAACTGTCCCTTGTTCGCCCACAATTTATTCGTCACTGCGCTAAATAGACTAGTGAGCCTCGATACTGGTAAGCTCTTTCAAACTGATTACGGAGCGGGTTTTAAAATCATGGGTAACCAGTTGCCCGAGGATCATCATATCGCGAATCAATTCTCCCCGCTTCAACAGTTCGTGGAATGGTCTCCCAACTTTGAGGAACGAGTGAACGCTTGCGTTTTTGCCGCTTGCGAAATGATGTTCGTTACATCCTTCTTTAATCATTTCGAGTTTTTGGCCCATCATTACTATAAGGATATACTTCAAATTGATTACAAAGAAATGAATAATGATTCGAGCAACCAGTCGACCACCAATGAAACATCGGTCCAGAGAGCGGTAAAATTTTATTGCTCATTTTTGATTCCTCCACCCTCGAATAGTTCGAATCATAGAAGCGATGACAAAATTAGTTTCTATGATTTGATCGCTAAAGCTTGCCAAAACGCGATAGCCAACCTCCTCGGAAATTACCAAAAGTACGCGGATTTTTATCGTAACAGAGACGCTATTTACAACACTCAGACACCTCCACTCGGGCTCAAGGTTACAAAAATTAATCTTATATCTAAATTAGGTAACTATAACCTGGGCAAGGATGTTACGAATACCGGTTTTGAATATCTAATTGGCATGATTATTATAGTTATCGGCCGATATATTTTTTAAAATTTGCCCATCTACAAATATCAAAATGACGGATAATTTAAAAAAAAATCTTTATTAATGATACAAAGGTAATATTGGGAATAATTTTGCAAAATCGCTCTATTTGAGCCGATCTTTAAAAACGCCTAACTCAGTATTATATCAAGAAAAGTATTACGCAAACTTGAAGATTTTGCTCATAGGTAGCACAAAGGTTTGGATATCTATTAGCGAAATCTCGTTGCTTAGGTAATATTTTTCTGGCTAAAATATTTAGTTAGCCGTTTTCATAAATCAGCTAAAATGAAGCGATTTTGCATCACTAATTGGGATCATATATTTAAAAAGAATGTGATTAATTATGAAATAAAAGATTATAATAATTACTACAAAAAAAAAGTGATTCAAGTTAAAATTATATTGAGTCATTATTAAGTTTTTAAAAATTAATTAAAAATAGATAGCTTATATAACTGGATCGGTTGATATCGGGTTTCGGATTGGTTGATGTCGAGATGCGGATCGATAGATTTTATGTTTCGGATCAATTAATATCTTTTTCGAATAAGTGTTCGGCCGATATAAACTCAATATCGATAATCTAGAGGCCTTTCAAAAGGCTATATCAATCGGTGCATCGCTAGCATTAAATTTTATGCACCATCATTTTCTATACTCTTAAAAAGCTAATTCAAATAAAACTTTAAAATTTGAATTAAATTTTTATTAAATTACAAAAAAATGGATTCGTTTATAAATAAATTTAAAGATACCCGCTAATAAAATGGAAGAATTTATTCCTAGAGTGACTCGTACGAAGGTTCATTTCGTTATCGATTATTCATCTATTATCGGTAATTTTTATTTTTGATTATCTTATCATTTAATGGTAAATGGTTTTCAAACATCTTTGCGATCATCTGTTTGTTGATGATCGTTTGAGGATTATTTGCGGTCTTTTATACTCTCCCGAGTGCAATATTTCTGAAATAAGGCATTTTTCTAAATTTTTTATGATTCCCATTACCTTGCACAGGCAGGAACCTACCAGATCGACTAGAATATTATTATTATTTTTTGAAATGGGACTTTGGCGGATTAAAAAAAATCAAATTATATTCCTTGAAAAATAATATAGAAATCTAACCAGGACTTAGCCTGAGCCCCCACTCGATTACCTAACTATAATACTTGTTTCATTGTAAAATGTTGCTCTTTATCAATCCTATTTTAATAATTTATCAAAAACGTTTATAAAATCTTTCTATGTTCACCAAAACATAACCTTAGTTGGCCACATTTACCTCTCATTCACATTTAGCCCTAATTCGCGGCGAGGTATACAAAACCACGAATTTGCGCTAACTGTGAATGCAGAATAGTTTAATAAATTTTTTTTAAAATAATTTTATTTTATAATGCATTTTTTTAGTCATTAATCAACAATCCACTTTGAACGAAGATGTATCGGGAATTCAACCTTTTACAACTGACAATCCAATCGAATAGTTTAGCACGCATTCATCAAATATTATAAAAATTCATTGTGCCATTAAGGATATATGTCTTATATTTTGTTAATGTTTTTATAAAACGCTAACTCAATATTTTGCCCTTAAAAATATTGCCTTAAGCCTCCAGGTTTCGCTAATAGGTGTCCAAACATTAGTACCATCCATGATCAAAATCTTGAGACTGGCTCTTTATTTTTCTGAATGAAATTTTTTAAAAATCGGTTCAAATGAAAGCGATTTAACAACACTCCGGAGGTTTTTGAAGCTAATATAAAAAAACTAAATCATTTTAAGAATCGCGTTTTTTAATTTAAAAAAAATTAGAGTTTGCCGGAATCGCATTTCATCATGCATATACTTAACTTACCTTTGTGTATTTCAGTAAGTTTTAATAAAAAATGTTTGTGTGATTTTTTTAAAATTTATATGAGTAAATAAATAAATATATATATATATATATAATATTAAAAATATCTTGAAAAATTTCCGGCAAAATTGTTATATTTTGGTGGGAGGGGGGGGGGGTGTAGGTATTCTATTAGATGCTTGAAATACGATTTCGATATAATCATTTCTTTCAAAGAAAGAAATATGGTTTTATAAAATATAAAATTGATATACATATATATACCTATAAATTAAAATCGCAATCTAAATAAAAGCGTCCTGTTTTGTTTCCTAAAAAAATTACCGGATATTTTGACAGACGTTCGGGCTGGGACCGAGGCCGATCCCTACTTTCAAAATTTGGTATCGATTGTTACAATATTGTTCGAAAACTCGTCTTACGACATAGAAAAATTGCATATCAATTGCGACGATTTATTAATGGTGCTCACAACTTTGGTGAAACGGGTAAATCACGTGACACTAATTTACTCATTCTCAATTTAAAAAAAAATTTATTAACAATTTCTAAAATGAAATATGTTAATAGGAAATTTTTTTTAAGGAGTGATTTCGTTAAATTTGACACTTGTTCAGAAAATTATATTTAAACGAGATTAATTTTTAAGGAATCGATTTCTCCTTTCTTCAGGCGCCTGCCGGAGAAAATCCGTTATTATTAAAGGGTTTTAATTTATATTAGTTTTTTCCAAATTTGAGTTACTATCTTTTTAAGAAAAAAACCCTATTACAAAGTGATTGTTTGGCTTAAACCGAAAATATAGTAACTACTTAACTGTACTTTTAAGTAATCCATCTTTGATTAAAATATCCAATGACAGAGTAGTGTAATTTTACCTTCAATATTTATTTGTGCGTTAATTTTTAATGTCTTACTACTAATATAAAATATGGTTTTGAACGAAGTTTTAATATTCATGTATTCAAATTGCTCACATTTTACGAATCGAATATTTAATTTATTCACTAATGTCAATTTTCAGATTATTCGAATAATATTTAGTATTCCATTCGTTCATACGAATAGTACTATATAACGCTAGGAATTTATTAACTCTAATGAACATAATTATTTTCTACTTATACATATACATAGGTTATGCGAGAGTAAAAAAAAATATATAAATTAAAAAAAGGAATATGTAATAAACAACTATATTATTATTAGAAAGTTCTATCTAAATCCACTCATGATAAGATTGATAATAGTTAAGGTTAAACATAAAAGATTAAAATAAATATTATTATTTTTTTCTTTCTAATTGACTCTCAGCGGAGTTTAGAAACCCAATATATAAATAAACAAATACGTATGGTAACTGTATATTTATAACAAATCTCTCAAGATAAATAGTCAGCAAATAGCTTATTCAACAACCTTTAACCACGTTGGTTATTATTTGATCAAGTTCGTGAACATTTTTATTGGCAAAATGTGGACTATTCAAGATGGCGTTACTTTCGGTCCAGCCATCCTCGGTAAATTGAAGGTACTATTCGATATCTGCCTAGAATCCTTGGAAATTCTAGACGCCAATTTTTGGACCAAATATCCTGACAAGGTTTTTAGTTTATTTAGTCTGCTAATTTATTCAAAAAAAAATTCTTTGGGTGATACATTTTTTTTCCATCCTGCTTTCCTACTTTCCTAAGTGTACGGAAATTAATAGAGATGTTTCATCCCGAGTTATATTCTTTATTTATTATTTGAAAGATTATAATTTATATTTAATTTTGTTCTAACGAAAAAAAAAATGATTCCCTATTCCCAGGATATTTACGCTCCATTATCCATGTCAAACAAAATCAAACCCTTTCCCTATTTTAGTACCGAAGTCTACAACATATTTTTTCCTTCCAAATATTATTCCATCCTGAAGGACGAAATATTTTTGATGTATCCTGAGATGATGACCCGTTTGCTTTTCAATCTTTTATTGCAGGTAACAAAAAAAAAGTATTTTAAAAATTTGGCAGAAATCCTTAAATCTGATTAAATTAGATTTGCAACCCCGTCCTAGCTCAATAAAATTAGCCACCAATTTTCTAGCCGAATTCGTGAATTTGAACATTTTTTAATGCTAATTGATTATCATTTTTTTAAATATTGCATCGTGGTCACGCAACATTTGATAACATAAATATCCCTAAATTTGACGAGAAAATCCGTTACTAATATCTATTAATAGGAAATAGCCTATTTTAATGTTTTCTTGTGAACCAATAATAATCTTGAAGGTAGTTAAGGGGTAGAGAGATGCTAGAAAGAGGGGTAGGGTTTTAAAAAAAATGGTTTGATAAAATTTACATTTTAACAATTTAAATACCAACTACAAAAAATAAGATTATTGTCCAACTCAAGAGAATTGCTGCTTCAACATTTGATTTATTTAAATTTCTATTCATCTATTTATAATCACATGACCTGTTAAATTTGGACATATCATATTAAATTTTACTAAAAACCTTTAATTAACCCTAACCCATATCCCTCAAAGCTTTAATCCTGCTCCTTACTTCAGATATCTGTTTAATTTTTAAATATATTTCATCTAATTACAAAATTTCTCAGAGATGGTAATTCCTTGAGTTGAGCTGTTACCAAAAAATAAACGGAAACGCGAAAAGCATATGTTTTTTAAAAAAATGATTTTATTTTAAAAAATTTATCCAATTTATCCAAATAATCAAACTTAACAAATAACAATTATTAATTTTTTTAGTGTTAATTTGGCATCGTCAAAGTTAATTTGATATAGGCAAAAAAAATGTAGGCCGATTACCATGAATAATAAGAGGTGTGTTTCTGATAATTAAGGAAAATAAGTAATAATCACGTGTCTATAATAGGGGGGATTGGTTCACATAGTAAGTAAATAGAATTTTATGAATACGTCTTTTAGTTATAGTTAAACGAAAGTTAAAAGTGGTATATTAATTGAAAGCAAATGGTATTATATAATATATTTATCGGCTATAAAGCGAATTTTAATATTATAATTAAAATTTTATTAAGAAAATAAATAAAATCATAGTATTTATAAGCAATGTATAATGCTACAAATTAACAAAATAATATTATAATATAATATTACTACAATAAAAAATGAAATTGTTAGCTTTAATGTGTTATTTTTTCAAATTTAAAAATCTGAATTTACCGGAAATTCATTTCAGCATGTTTAGAATATCTTATCAGACAATTTTTTTATGTAATAGTTTTTCCATAGATATTTTATATAAATTATAAATGGCTTAAAGATTATTGGGAAAATTGTCTACAATTTATAAGATATATTCTAAACATGCTGAATGCATTTCAGATAAATTCAGATTTTTAAATTTAAAAAAAAAATACCTTTAAAAAAATGATTTAAAGTTAAAAAAAATAACACATTGCAACAATGTCGCAAATTATATAATTTTGTCCGATTCATTATCAATTTTTATCATTTACGCATTTAACTCTTAAAAATAGGATAATTTATAAAAATAACGTTTTTTACAAACGCTTTCTCCTCTCCATTTATTTCTACTATAGCTAGGTCCACACTTGCATTCAGATCCCAACTTCTATAATGTGGAAAACGCGACATCTAATCATTTGCAAAAGATATGTCTAAACTATATGACCCGACTTTCCCCGTCAAGCCCTCATCATTTTAAACGCAATCGTAATGATCCGTCGCATCTTACCTCAAATAAAGAGGGGCCAGATAATGGTAGATTAAACTAAAAAAAAATTTTTTAAAAAATAAATAAAGAATATTTTATACTATAAATGTAAGGATTTTTTCGAAAGTTTCTAACTTATTTTTTTAGGACACCTAGCGGTAAGAGCGTAGTGATGCCAATTTATTCAATTATAGACTTTTAACATCAAATCTAGAAACGTAACCTCGAATCTCTTAAAATTTGTTAGGAAATGAAATCGGAGGCCTTTTTTAAATATTTAGGAATTAGAAACAAGAACCACCTTTTTAAAAAACTAAGTATATCCAGAACCGAAAACAGAAGTCTTCTTAGCACAAGTTCCGATAAACTTTATTCAAAGTCTACAGCTAATTTATCTTCGTAAACAATAATGTGTTAAGATGAAAGGTGCCCTAGGCCTCTTTGTTAGACTTTATTCTTAATATGTTACGGAAATCAGTTGGACAACCTTTTAAATATTTTTAAAAATATATAAATTTAGAGACTTAACAAGCCCGTCACGATTTAAAATCATGGGCATGGGCTAATCCTTTGACTTAAATCTAGATTTAGACGGTTTTAAAAATAAATAACATCATCTAAGTTGAGTTTTTTAGCATTAGCCAGCCCTTATAATAAGTTATTTTAAAAAATAACTCGGGTCGAAAATAGTATTCTAACCCGGGGCGGGTCTTAAAATAAAAACGTGACGACTATTAAATTATGTTTTAAAAAGCGGATACTTTTTCGCCAGAAAACCGTGCGACTGCCGGCTATAATATATCACTCTTCAAGCAAGTCAAAAGAGTCATGCTAAACGTTTGTTGTTGCGGATCGAGGAATCTGATGAAGACTAGAAGAGACGTTTTCTTGTTAACTACGAGATTGGGGAACATAGAAAATTTTTTGAACTCACCTTTGTTTACCACGAATACTATAGCTAGCGACGTTTGCTTCATATCTGTTAAGGAGCAGGAAGCCCTTGCCAAAACTCTCTATTTCTCGGAATGGACCTCTCATGGTAAAATAACCATTTTTAATTACATATATATAAGAATGCAGTTATAAACCTCCCACTTATAACGGGGCATAAAAAATTTAACAGTGCGGGCATTTGTAACGAGCTTCTTTTATTTACTTTATTTATTTATTTATTCTTATCCAGATTATATCTTCTTGTTTATCTAGATGCTGCCTATTCATTATTATTGTAGTTACAACAAATCAAATCGTTATAAATTTTTTATTATTAGGCATGGATTATTCCGTAATCGAGAGCTTAGTCTCCGACCTGAAATACTGTTTGGAAATAGCTATAGTTAGAAGACTCAATTGGGTTCGATTTTGTATGACGCAGTGTTCCGTATTCAATACGTTGTTGAGATGCGCCTGCCTTTTCGCGGATTGCGAAATAAGCTGCATAATATTGAAACTTTTATTGGCCACCCTGGATGGTTGCTGCGGTAAAGGCCACCGAGTATCTAACGGGGCGTCAGGTTACTTAAATATTTTATATTGCAGAGTCGGAATTAGTTTAAGAGAATTATTTAATTCTTTCTTTAAAAAAGAATAAATTCCTAATTTTATATATTCTTCCTTCGAAAATATTCAACCTCAGAATCCCCTAGTTTTAGCGCTCTTATGGAAAATGATATTCAAAAATACTTGGTTGAATTCATTAAATCGAATCTGATAAATTCCACTAACATCGATAACAAGTGGCTAGCCCGTAAATTTATCATCTTCTATTACAAGTAATGATGTGTTTTGTAAATAATTACAATCAAATTAACCTATATAAGAAGATAAGAAAAACAGGAAGAAAGAAAAATATAAGCTTTATGTTAAAGGTTGGCAAGGAAGTTGGACAATAATTATAAAGTTATATATATATATATTTTATTTAAATTTCAAAATTTAACAACTATCTATCTAATAAATTCCAACATATTTATATATTTTATTAAATTGATTGTTTAACAGGTTTATGTACAAAATAATTTGATCTAACAAAAATGAATATGAAATATAATAGATAAGTTAAATGTATGAATGAATAAAATTGTAATTCATGCTATACACCTTAATATAAATCAAATAATTTTATATGTAAATCCCACATATTTAACATTTTATAAATAATTATAAACGATAATTTTAAAATTTAAATGAATTTTTTATCAGCATATTTTAAACAATTTATTTACGAACTCATTAAACATCAAATTGGATAGTTCAAGACGCTCCTCTCACGATAAATTAAAACTCATCCAAACGATGATCGTTGATTGCCTACCTGTCGTTCTCCAATCCGGCTCTAAGTCTGTCCAATTTATTGACACTCTTTCTTACCTCATCCATAAACAGCTCCCCAAGAAGCACGATACCAATAATAACGAATACTTCAAGAATATAGCTCTGTACGTCTTTCAACACATGAAGCTGCTGGTTCGAGTCATAATAAATGATCACAACGCTAGACTTTACGCCGAACTAGCTCGGTACATCAAATTGGACGATTACTATTTGCAGACTTACAACGCCTGTGTTCATTGCGCGCCCAGAGAAGCTTACGCTGTAAGTCTAATAATTGTTCTTATTGTAATTAAATTATCGTCCCTTCTTCTGAAAAGAATTTAACCAATGTATAATTTCTCTATTATTGGTTCAAAACGTTTATTTTAATAATGTAGCAATGAATTATAACCAATTATATATCATCCTATATGTTGTTTAGTTCGGCAAAATTGAATGTTATTTGGTAATAAGGTTTCAATTACTACCCTTTATACACCTCACGTTTTCCGGGATATTATTTGAAATAAGAAATTTTTTTTTATAAATTTATTTCATTTTTATCGAAATTTAAGAAAATTAAAAACTCAATAAAATAAATAATTTTATTAGTTGGATAACGCAACGCTCACGTTGGGCAAATTTTATAAATGTCATTCAATATTTTTAGGGGATAATGTTTCTTAATGAATTTATTAAGAGTTATTAGTGTGCCCTGTTGACTTATTACTAAACAGTCTAAAAAGCAAAAGAAAAAATTTGAAAAAAAACAGAAAATAATCTAAAATACAAAAAACGAGAAAATAAAATGCCACCAAATACTTAAAACAAACCAAAATAGCGTGTCCTAGTTCAAAAAAGTGTTTAGTCTAGGCTAAACAACAATTAAGTATCAAAAATAAATCGAACCATATATAATTTATTTTCGACAAATTCTGATCTTAATTGAATATATATTTCCAATTTTTTGATTAAATTTATATTTAAATCCTCTGATTTCTATTTCATTGGGTATAAGATGGAAAATACGATTTTTTTAAAAAAAGTTATAAAATTAGTAGGAAACCGCAATCATTTAAAAAATTTCCCGAGATTCGGCTCCGCTTTTAAAAATCACGGCTCTGCCAAACCGAAAGCTTGATCGGGCGTGCACATATCCGCGAAGGGCTCATTCGAGGGATTAAATGTTTCATTTTGAAAATGATAATTTCGCGAAACTCTGCCTATATAATGAGGCATTCCACCAATTCCACCTCCAAAAATAAACCTTATAACATTTATTTTTTAGAACTTTAAATTTTTTTTTGACAATATTTATTAAAGGCCCACCATTAGGCTATATAAAGAAATCTAAATGACGCTTTTAGCTCAATTATATCCAAAGATATTTAAAATTAAAGGGAGAGAATTCTGCCTAATAGCCACATTTTTACGACCTTAGGCCCTTATCTCAATCGCGGTTTGGAGTTGAAGGCTAAAATTTAATTTTTTCTTAGTTATAATATATGCAAACGTAAAATTTTTTGAAAAATCTCAGCGGGTCGGGTTAAAACTCATGATGATTTGTCATGGAATTCACCATATATGTATTTAATTTTTTTTTTAAATTTTCAGAATATCAAGCTGTCGTCCATTAAAAGAGAGTCTAAATACACATCTTTTTCGATAATTGTCAAACTGACCTCTTGCTATGTCATATCTAGCCTCAGTATCAAAATAAGCGATATCAAAAAATCGAAAATGGTAATAAATTAGTTCTTATCTTAATTTAAAACTCTCAGAGGTTTTATCTAATTTATAGTGGTTTGATTATAAAGCGCGGGTAATAAAAACGCGCTCACATATTTTACTAACATCTTTGTTTATAAGGTTAAAACGATGTCTATCTTCGTAAACAACAATCGTAATCAAAGCGTCGTTGAACTCAAAAACTCTCCCCGCTCTTCTTGGTTCTGCGTCATAAACGAAGCTACCCTTCAACCTTTGCAAACTTGGTTTTTATATAAATATATATATTTATATAAAATAGAATAAATGACAGAAAATGACCCGGATGAATTAATAAATGACCTTCAGTTAATAAAATATTTTTGCTTAAAAATATATTTAAATTTCTTTCAAATTTGTAAAGAAATACTTTTAAAAATTATTTAAAACTAACTAACTATATCTATTTCATAATCATGTAATTTTTTTTTGAAAAAAATTCACTCTTGATTCTTATGACGGGGGAAAAAAATAATATAATTTTGTTAAATGAGATTTATTGCTAATTTATTAATTTAATCAAACTAATATGCTTGCTCGTACAAAAAAAAATATAAAGGGGGGTTATTATACCCTTAATTCGACGTATTTAAAATTTCTAACTATAACATATATTTATTAATAAACAAAAGAATATTTTACGATAATTTAATATTAACAATTGCATACATTAAATACCTGCAAAATCTAAATTTTTGGTCCGAACCCGCCCGCGTTCCTGCGGTAAATTATTTAACCTAAGCCCGAACCGCGACCCGAAATTCTTTTTTAAAAAAGAAGCATTAAGGAAGAAATTTCGAGCTCAAAATATTTATTTTATTCTCTATTTTTTTTTTAAATGTTACGCATTAAATTTATATTCAGCAATAACTTCTGATAATTTAAAATTGATGTTTATCTATTTTATTTCTATTTATTACAAAATATTATACAAATATTTCTTACCTGATTATTCATTTTATAACTGCAAATATTAAATCAGGCAAAAAAGAGGTAAGAATAGGAAGGGATATGTAACATTAATATTTTTAAGCCCACTAGCCGGGGCGTGGCCTATATTTTACTGATTGTTACTGCCCTTCTAACATACATCATCGAAATAACATGATTTTCCCGTCTTTGTCTGGGGTTTCCATTTATCAGTGCAAAAAAAATATTTGATAGCTACTGCGGATATTTGCGCGCTTCGATTTAAATCAACCAATCAAGTAATGTAATATTATCGGCCATCTGATCATTTTAACGCCTGACGTTCATATCATTATCTAAAATATACCTATTACGATTACTGAATCACAAAACGATATTTGTAATAATCTCCACATATTATATTTATTGATTAATTTATGTTTGGATATTAATTTATATGACTAATTTGAATAAAAATAGCCTTAATTCTCAACATTATTAGTTACTCTTAATTTTAATAAACTTTTTTATGCTTGAAAAATATGAAATTATAGTATTTATTTTTTTAAGGGAGAATGTAGGGAGAAGGCGGTATAGGTATAATTTGTTAAAAATTTATTTTAAAATGATATTTAAACAAATTTATCAAGTGGAGTGAATTTCCTGCCCTTCCCTTTTCTACGTAACAGCTTAACTTATTCTATAAAAATGGCCAAAAAATAGTTTTATGGTGGCAACCGGTAACCATTGTGTAATACTTCTATCAGAGTTGTTGAAAATACTTTTCAACTGGATCTAGGTATCGATATATCGTTAAAACTTATCTTGATTCAGATACCAATATTCTTTATGAAAGTGTATCCCGATACACCACATTTTGTATAGATCCTTTAGCACCTCTGCCATTTGTGTTCTTTTAAAGAATATATATATTATAAATAGGTTAAAAACCGATTTTCCTTTTCCCGTGCTAGCTTGTAACGTTAAAATCCTTTACGATTCCTTTCACGAATCACCGAATCACAATGCAGCGTGAGTTTTTAAAAATCTACTTTCTAAGCTTTTCATTTTATTTCATGTTCTATAAGCACATTTTTAGAAATATATGTTTTGGGCTATGTCCAAAATCTTTTTTAAAAATTTCGCTTCTAAAATTTTAGAATTTTAATTAAAATCGTAAGTTATTTCATAAATTTTTCTAGAATTATGTTTAGACATGTTTTTATTTTTATAAATAGATTATTTATTTATTTCTATTAAAAGTTTCAAAAGTTTTATGAATTTAATTTTTTTTAAAATATTTTGGACACAGCTTTTAGAAGGAAAAATTTGATATTTTAGACGAATGTATTTTGTAATGTCGTTTAGAGACGTAATAAATCCTGGGTTTTTTCGAATTTTTTTTTAAAACTTAAATACTTTATAGCTCTCGGTTTAGAAATTTATTTTGCAAGACATATTGTCGGAATCGTATTACAGCTAATGGTGTATATATATACTTTTAAATTGCCGATTCGTTAATTAAGTGTCCATACATAGGACCCAGCTGTAGTGCCATTTTGTGACTTGCACTTTGATTAATAGCCTTTATTAATTATTGTATGAATGCACATTAGTGCATTTAATCGACGTGCAAACTACAAAATAACGTTTCAACTGACTCATATGTGTAGACACTTATGAATGCGTTTAATGAATGAATCACCAATTTAGTAGTATATATACATCATTGATTACAACACTTATAAAATATGTACCACGTGAAAAGTGTAGTTTCAAAAATTCACGGCAGAATTGTCTGAAATTCGTAGGATAGGTATTCTATACATGTTGGCGGAAAACGATTTCGACAAAAATGGGATCGGTTTTTAAAATATTTTAAACTGCGTTCCACAATTTGCTAAAAACCCCGGTCGATAAAGCATAACCCTGAATATACTGAACCACCGACATAATGCACAAAAAATATAACTAAAAACAGAAATTCTAATGGAAATGGAGGTGTAAGTTGCCCTCGGTGTAATACACTCGTCATCTCTCACACGGGAATATGCACTAATTGCGGGGAAAACGTTTTCCAGTGCAGCAAATGCAGGTTTTTATTATGAATTTTATTTTATTTAAAATTTTTTCTTGTAATTTATTTGTAATTTTGGAGCCGTAGGTTTATTTTAAAGTGAGTTTTAAGATGTGATGGATGGTGGTGCTAATATTTTTTGTTTGATGTATATAAATATCCTTATAAATAATTGAAGTGTACTAATTAAACCTTTTTTTAAAACAATTTAAATCCAAAAAAGGTCCATCAATTATGATGACAAAGATCCCTTCTTATGCATTAATTGCGGGTTTTGCAAATACGCGAAATTCGAATATTCGGTCAACTCTCATCAATGTTTTGTCACCGAACCTATAATAAACGAGGATGGATACAAAAATGTTAATAATTTTAATTTCTTTTAAAAAAATAAATTTTTATTCATGAATTAGTTCTTCGTATTCAGGCATTAGATAACAACCGAGACCTTCATAAAATGGCGTCCTAGCTGAAAAGATTATTTATGTTTTTATCCTGGTTACCCTACGACTAGAAGAACTACTTTAAAATTATTATAATAAAGTAAAATCTTGTAATAATGAACATTGAAGACAGGGTAGGTGCTCAATATAGAAAAACATTTTGGGATACACAGGGTTTAGGAAAATCTTGGGAGTTTAAAAAAAAATAAATTATAACCAAATCTAACTTGACGTCATATAAACCACAGGCTATATTTTCAAATTTTATTAAACTAGACAAGGTTATAACAGCAACTGGTTACTTTTATAACTTTTAATAACACACTAATTACATAATGCATATATTTATTATTAAAAACGGTACAACAAATCACTGGTTATATAAGATGATATCTAACTATAATGATTGTGGTCAATTGAACCCTTTTTTTTAAAAAAAAACTGATTTAAATGAATGAAGAGAATTGATTAAAAAACATAAATTGATTTAGAAGTATTCCTACGAGATGATCGTATTTCGAAAAATCAATGTATTATTTTGATCGATCGATATTGATTGATTGATTATTAACTTCATTTCTATCTATACATACATATATATTTTTAAAGATTATAACGCAGTTCGAAATCTTGACGGATAAGTACGAAAAATACCAAAAGCAAATTAAAATGCACAGGACTAATATCAGTGATATGCTGACGTTTTTGGGGGACCCCAATTATTTTCTGAACCTTAATTCTTCTATCGAGTTGTACGCTCCTCATAAGGAGGTAAAATATTAACATTTTTTAGGATTTACTATTGTAATTAAGTATTTTAGTTTATTATTTGATCCGTATTTATAAGAATGATAGCAAGAAAAGAAAAAGAGAAATATTTTTAACTAGCTGAAATCTGTTATTCTACAAAAAAAATAGCTGTCAACTAATGTCACCAAAATACCATCGCAAAATGACAAGGATCCTCAAAAGTTGATTCAAATTCTTAATAATAAGTACCACACGGAATGCAAGGTTGTGTATACGGAATCACAGAAACTCATGTTCCAAATGAACTCTCTAAAGAAGGAATTGAAGATTAGCAGGCTAATCCTCAATTCTTCATTCGATAATGGACTTAATGAAAGGTTTTTTTAAAATAAAATGTTAATTTCCTATACATCATCATCATATAATTTACTTATTACTTTTGTTCATTATTCCCTGAATTATGAATGCTCTAGCAACATTATATCCTTTATCATTTTTTTGATTAGCAAAGTTTTAGAAATCCTCAACAAATCTGAAGATTATGATGCGACGACTGATTATTGTTTGAGATGCGCCTACGCTTCGATAGAGCACATTCTCATGTTGATTCAAGCCCTTGTATTGAACGACGAAGTGAAAAGACTTCTAATCGAAACGGTATATTATCGCTTGACATCTGTTTTATAAGCTTTGATGAGTGGGCGAAAGTTATGCGTAAAATGGAGACCAAAAAATCGGGGGATTATAAAACGCATCATTGTGTTCAGCGATCATCCTGCATTGTTGCGTTTAAATCGCTTTCAATGGTAGAAGAATCTTTTAACATAGAAATTTAAATGAACCAGAAATGGTGACCGAAAAAATCTAGCTTCCGCCAAGAGGGGTTTCTTAAACTGGAGGTTCAGAGATTTTGATTGGTTGTTCTAACTGTTCTAATATCTATAGAGTACATATAAGCTATCGTTTAATGTCAAGATGAAAATCTATGGAAAATCTAAATCACTGGTTAAACAGGAACAATTTTGGTTCTATAATTTTAAAAGTTCAAAGAAAGGGATTTTATTGAGCCAATTTTCAAGGGGAAAATAAGTTGATGAAACAGAAAATCGATGTTATATTGTCGAAAAAAAAAAGAGGAATGTAAATGGAAATAATAATTTTATTCTTTATCCAAATTGCATCATATAAATAGTTATAGTATAATTATTTATTAACAGTCCGCTTAATTGCATATTGCTTAAGCTTTCATTCATAGTTAGCGCGAATTATATAAAATACGCTGTATTTCTATATTCTCCACCGCGAATTCGTACTAACTGTTAATGCAAGATAAGGTCTCACTTATAGTCAACGAGTTAAGTTCAAGCTGTGCGTTATTTACAAAATTAAGCCATTAAATAGGTATAAATTTATAAATTTGTAGTGTTATATATGATAATAACGCTATGATAAAATTTGAAAACATGTTGTAATGCAATGGTAAAAAATATGCCAAACATATAAAAAATAATAAATAAATTCATCATACAATTTTTTTAAAAAGCAGAAGATAATTTTTATTAAATATTATCGCCTTGAAGAATCAGCTTTGATTTCGAGAGCGTTAAATAACGCAACGCTTTTACATAGCGCGTTTACTATAAATTAAGCGTGACTGAAATACTTTAAAAAATATATAAATGCTCCATTTAGTTAAAATTTGCAAATGCGAAAAAATTTTCCAGCGCCGATCCCGACGCTTCGCTTTTATCCCATTTTGACGTAGTAGGCAACTTGTACATTAATTTTAATTTTTTTAAAATAAAATTATTTCTAAAAAGTAGAAAGAATGACTGAAAATTGTGGGGTCATTTCTGAGGGCAGGGGATGCAAAATAAGTTAGAAAGACAGGTCTCTAAAGATAATCTCTGTATGAAATATAATCCCCGGAACTCCGGTGACCAAAGTTATTTCTTCCCCTGAGGTGTGGCTTTTTATTAACTAGGAGGCCTCCTCCTCGAAACCAAGGTGTCGGTAATTTTAGATAGTCATAAAAATTATACACTGTGGGATGAAAATATATAGTTTTTTCTGTAGTCCAAGGGCAAAGTTGCGTTAGATTTTATGTCATAAATTATAAGGTGGTAAGACATTATAATTATCCGTTATATAAATGGTGTGTTTGTAACTGTTAGTGAAGTACTAATTATTATGAATCTAATAAAAAAAATAGCAATCCCTTTATAAAACATGATATATTATCTTGTATTTTTTTTTATATTTAAACTATAATAGGGAATCATTGATGAGCTTATCGATTACAATACCTTCCTTAACTTTGATTCCACCAGAAAAATTTTGTCCTATCTTATTATCAACAATGGGGCTTTGTTAAAATCGATTAATCAATCCATGTTCGAAAGGATACAAGTAGCATTATATATTCATGTATGGGGGCTGGAGGGGGGGGGGTGATTTGATATAATATTTTCAAAAATATTCTAACCAAAATTTATTTAATTTTAATTGATAGATTGCCTTGGGTCCTTTACTTATTTACAAGGATCGCGTCCAAAATATCAGCAGTAAAATCCTGTTATACGATTCTTGGATATACGTTAAGCACTACGCCGCTATCCTTATCAACAACATGGATTACTTGGACGATGAATGGGAAACGCGATTTAGATATGGTGAAGATATTTACAAAAACTTTTAAATGACATTAATATGCATTAAATAATGACGAATAATACAATTAGTCGAAGTGCAAACCACAAAATGGCGCTACAGCTGACTATTTTTTATATACATACACCTTTTAAATCGTCAATCTAGTAGTGAATATACATTGTTAATAATATGAGAATAATATCAGGGAATGTCGGTCACCTTTAATATTGTAATATTCTTTCTTAAAATTAAAATATTTTATAATACAAAAGTTATCCGATTATTCGCCTTCTCCGTTAAATACCTTCCCGTCACCGCCTTTGTTCACGAACAATTGACCTTACACGTTGGACGTTATTTAGTCAATCTAATTTCCTCGCTTCCCGATTCGAAATCGCTCAAAAAATCAAAAAAAAGAGTAAATTCCCCTAATAAAGCACCGATCGATAAACCCAAGAAAAATATTATCAAAAGGCCCCCTTTAAAAACGAACGCGTTGCCGCCACATTCGAACGGATTCGATTTGACAAGGTGGTTAAATCGTGACGACAATGCCGACGCAAATTACTGGGCGACTTTGGATGAGAAATCGGAACACAGATTTGATAGAATTAGTTAAAACAAATTTTTAATAATTATTTTGTATAATAATGATATTTCCGGTTATCAATTTACTTATTTTAACTTTTTTTTGAAAATATCCAGAATATTGATCGATAGTTTGAAAAAAATATATAAATTAGCCCATCCCCCTAAAAAATAAAGGTTCCTATTTTGGTAAACAAAATATATTTTAACTATTGCCCCCCCCCCTCCATTCCATGCACACAAACTTATTTTTAAGGTATCAACTCTCAAAGTTGGGTCACGAATTTACTTTTTTCACCTTACCCTAAACTAAGACAATTAGCCATTACCATCTTGAAAAATTTAAACCAAAAGATGGATTCTCCTCAAGTTTTGAATTATCTACTCAGGTAAATTTTATTGACTTCCTTTTTTTACATTTAACTGGCTAAACATTGACATAAAAGGAAGAACGGGAAAGAAAGATATAAAGGAAGAAAGAAAAAAAGAAACTATTTACTTTATTTTTTTTTAAAAAAACTTAAATTACAGCTTTTTGAATCAAGATATCATGCTATTTGCCAATTACACCGACGAGTATTTCGATTACCTATTGAAATTTTTCAAATCCCCGATTGACTCTCCCAAAGACCATTTTAAACATTTAGATTTTCAATGCCTAAAAAATTTGATTACATTAGTAAAAAGAATAATAAATATATACTCTATATTGTGATTAAAAAAGAGAATTTCTCGTATTTTTTTCTGCACTTTGAAACGTCTCAATAATTTGTTCTTTGGATAAATTAATTAAAATTAAGAAGGAAAATATAGAAACTGAGCCCACCAAAGCTTCTCACAATTTTAAAATGTTATGCACGGACTAATTAGAGTCTGATCCAACCGGACCAATCAGAGCCCTATCCATTTGTACTTGTAAACTCGGACCCAATTCAAATGTTAAATCATTTTATTATTCTTTCGCTGTTAAGATTTTTACTCTTTTGATATCGTTACCTTTTTTGCAATAATATTATTGTAAAAAAATCTTATCAGACTCAGATCTTCGGATTCAATTGATATCGGATCGGACCCTAGGTCAGATATCAGAATCGAATTATCACCGACTTCATAGTATTTCTCGAGGTGCTAGAAATTCTAAAAAGATCGAAAATCGAAACCATTGAACATATGTGTTTAAAAAATTTTAAGTTATCTGGGAGAATAGAAACTTTTTTAAATGCGGGAAATAATCAATTTGGTTTCTGTTTAGATTTTCGTTTTTTGTGCTTTTTTGAGCGATTAAATGTGGCGCCTTCGCTAAAAAAGATTTTTTTCTTTAAAAAAAATATAGATTATAAGAGAAAAACATATAGCATTCGATCGAAGCTTACATTTTGAAAAATGTCTGCATTCTATGATTGGTAAATTCAAATTATTTATACATTTTTATCAGTTATTATAATAATTATCACAAGTTCCCATTTTACTAAAAATATTTTGACTGGGAAAGAAGGAAGAAAATAAAGAAAGATATTATTTTATTTAAGTATGATTTTTTAACAATATTAAAGTTAGGACATGATAAATGTCTCTGATATTCAAAATTAAAGATGAAACACGATGTTTGACTGATGATTTTCAATTCAAACTTAAGATTCGAACAAAAATAGCTCTTATTAACTTTAACAGATGTCCACCGAGTTCTCGAATCATTCTGACAATCATTACAATTATTTTTACACTTTTAAAGAATTGTTAGAAATGTATTGCGATGATAGTAGACAAATCGAACATATCCCATTCGTTCTCAACACCTACCTAGAATTGAAAACGACAGCTGACCTAAAATCAAAATCGTTGAATTTTACCATTGACAAACTTTACAATTTACTCATTCAAGCAACCAGTTTATAGCTATTTTGCTTTTTTTTGACAAAAAGGGGGTTCAACTATTTTTTAAATATTTCATATAACTGATTTTTAAAAATTTTGACTTGAACCATCATTATTATTATGGAATTTAGGATAGGAATAACTTTATCTTTTTTTAAAAAAAATTTATTAAATTTTAGAACCTTTTTTCTTTTTTATATCTGAAATAATTATTTAAGGTAAAGACGACGGTTTAGAAAAAATCGTTCCAGCTCTAGTCAATCATTTGGCTCATGATGTCCTAGTTCCTCGAAGCGAGAGTATCGATTTTGTCAAAACTTCTATTTGCTTGGAACTTTTGGAAGAATTATTTGTTAAGCCAACGGAAACGAAGGATCACGGGAATGATCAATTTTTCTTAGTGATTGAGAAAGATGTCCACCAGGAGGATTATTTACAAGTTTTTAAAAAAATTTATTTTTTATTTTTTAAGGAATTTTGATTTCTGCTATGATTTATATTGAATTATTCATTGGTATATTAATTTTTTTATTCACATGCGCCATTTTTTTTATAAGTTGCTAAAAAAAATTTATGTTCAAAATCTTTTTCAAATTTTCTATAAATATATTTTGGACATGTTTTTATTTTTATATTTAAAAAAAGGTTATTTTTTGATTTTCGATAAAGTTTTAAATGTTAAATTTTTTGATATTTTATAAATAATAGGGAAGAATGCAAGAAAACCCTTATACTTCGACTGGGGAAGGCCTGGGCCCTTGTATGAGGGATGTTAAAAACAAAATATGCAGGGATTGTGAATTGATCGCCCTCTTGGAAGACGATAGCGGCATGGAGCTATTGGTCGATAACAAGATCATGAACCTAAATTTGTTAGTTAAAGTAATAAAACTATTATAATTTTACTATATCTATAAATATAAACTCAGCCCTAATTTTTTTAAAAAAAATTTAATCTCGGGCTTGGTCGGACCTAAAAAAATGTATAAATTTATTAGCGCTGGTCCGGGCGGACAAATAATTTTTATTTCGGGACAAAAAAATTGTTAGGAAAAAAAATTCGGACCAGGTTTGAAAATTAGGCCCAATGCAGATCACTAACCTATATATTTATAAATATAAATGTAATCAATAAAATATTCATTAAGGTTTTTTTAAATCGCAATTTTGTTATTATCGATATAATAATAAATCGATCATGAAAATATTTTCTTTTATCCGCACCCCCACCCCCAAAGGTAATTTTTTGATCTGATGTTTTAGTGTTATTGTTGCGTGTAAATATTGATATATTTTTTCTTTTTTTTATAAAGTCTCTCTCAATATCGGTAGATAAATTTTTACGATAAATTAGAACGAATCAAATAAATTAAAATGTTTTTTAAAAAAAGTAACTCCTATTAATATATGTTCATTTAATTATTCATCCAAAATTAAGGACGTATTTATCAAGGTATGGATACCGACTCATCCTTCCTCCGACACCATGCTGGTAATATACAGGGTTAGAGGACTGCTCGGAGACGCCACCGAAGAATTTATCGAAACGCTGAATGGAGAATCTTCCCAGAAAAAGAAGAATTCCTTGGATACATCATCCAATAGTACCGATGCCAAAGGTCTCAAAGAATCTAAGTCCGATATTTTGGATCATGATTTAGACGAATTGACAAAAAGGAACATTGCTATCTTGAAAAATACGAGATGTTACAAGGAACTTTTGAGGATGTAAAGATAATTTTAAAAATAAATTTTTCAAATCTTGTTTCATGATGATATTATAAAAGAAATGGAGGAAGAGAGAGAAAAAGAAAGGAATAAAGCATAATTTATTAATATTTAGATAATATGACATCATTATTAATTATTTGATTTTCATTTCTACAATTAACCCCACAAAGTCTCAAAAATATGGTTAATCCAGTCAGCCTGTCAAACACGCTCGTTCAACTTCTCAACATCGTAGCATATCTAATGAAATCCGAGATCTTTATAAATGAAGAGATTCTATCGCCTTCCTCCAGCATAGACCAAGAAAGTTCTACCATATGCGTCTTGTTAGATCTGCTAGAAAAAATTATCAACGTTTCTAGGACTACAACCCACAAAAATACGTCGAGTCTCTACTACCAGGAAACTATAGGGAAAAGTCAAGAAAAATTGCTAAGATCCTGCTTGGATATAATGGCAACCATTCTTTCCCATAATTTAAACGGAAAAGTAATAACACTATTTGAAATGATGCTTTACTAGGATGCTACATATAGGCATTCAATGAAGCTCGAGGACATCTTTTCGAAATATTATTTAAAAAATTTATAACTCTTACTTTATCATATTTTCATCATTTTTTTATAATTTTCATTAAAAAAATAGTATAACCCTTGCCCTCACATAATTCAACGTCTTTTGAAACTTTTGGAAGAGCCCGACTTAAAGCTTCCTCAATTGCAGTTAGATATTATCAAAATGTTACCTTATCTTATGACTGGTTCTACTAATCATATACAGACCGTATTGGATCATTATACCCCAGTTCTCGATTTTGAAGGGTTCACATTTTAATAAAATTATTGTTTTTTTAGAGCTTTAAAAAAAATCTTTAAAAAGAAGAAAGATTTTTATCAAATTTTACCTAAGAATGCCAAATAAATTTTTTATAAGAAAATATTTTGTAATTTGAGTGCATAAAAAAATCTTTCAAGATGAAATCACAATTTTTTTTTAAAAAAACATGGTACTCAAAAAAAAACAACTCCATAATACATTCATAGAAAAGGTATCATTGATAATAGTATATAATGATTGGATTATTTTTTAAAAAAAAGATATGACAACAATCAAACTCCACAAACGACCGTTTCTCTCGACCAATTCGTTTCCCTTCTCCGCGAATGCCACTCAGCCTTATTCAATGTTTGCCCTATGCCTATCTTTCTCTCCCAACTTTTGAATTTCTTAACCAGACTGAATGACGACTGCGTCCTAAACCGCTCCTTACAATATGTGGGGCTCAAGACCGGGTTCGGGGATTGGAAAAGCGTGGTGACCTCCAAATTTCCCTCTCTTTCCTACGTTCTTAAAATTCTCACCGGGATCTATAAGTTGATCAGTCTGTCCAATCTTGCTGCCACCGCTAAAGAAACCGATGGTAACGATTCGGAAAGGAAACGCAAAGAAGAATCGGATCCGAATCTGAAAAAGGATATCGAAGAAGCCCAGGAGACAAGTTATGATAAATCGAATGACATCGAGACCGATATAACGTCACTCTTGAAATTGTTACACAAGTTGGAACAAACGTCAACAGAGGACCATTTAGGAACGCTAGCCGAAACTCTCATGAATACGTTATTGCAGACCGACCCATCTGTCCAACAAAAAGTTTATCATGATCACCACAATATGTTCAAATATTAACTAATTCCCATTTCCAAAATTGATATATCGCTATTGTTTTAAGGAAGGTTTATCATCTTTTAATTTAGGGTTCCCTATGGCGGATTTTTTACAATAATATTTTCACTATAATGATTTCTTATATGATTCCCTTTTTTTTAAAAAAAAAGATCGAAAAAATCAGGCATCAAACTAAATTAGAGCGCAAAAAGATCGCAATGGCTAAAAGGGAAAAAAGATTGGAGGCGCTTGGAATGAAAGTAAATGTTTAATTTGCCTAATACAAAAACGATGATATTTTTTTAAATTAATAATGCTTATAATTAGACGAATGTTAAAGGACAAGTTTTAGCCTCGGACGCTACAAACCCCTTGACGTCTCACCTAGATAATCTGACCAACGAATCTGGACTCATTTGCTGTATTTGCTTCGAAGGATATCGATTTCAACCTAAAAAGGTTTCCGCTATATAATTAAATGTGATGGAGCAAAAATTGAATAGTTATATTTACTGCGGAAATCATAAAAATTTTTGATTTTTTTTCTTAATTATATATTTAGATTTACTAACTCTTGGAAATTAATTTTTAATTAACCAGAAGAATATGATTATTACATTTATTTATTTTATTAGATGCTGGCTATATACACACTGATACGCAAAATTGAATTGATCAATTTATCCCAAAGCGTGAAAAAAGCGGGTCACGTTACTTTTTCAAACTTTAACATTGTCCACATCGATTGCCACAACGATTCCTTAAAGTAACATCTTTCTTTCTGTTTTTTCCGAATTTAATATATAGAGTTGTTTAAAGTTTCAGTTTTTTTCCTTTCTTTTTTAAAATATTTATGGAGGAATATGCTTTCAATTTATATATTTTATAATCTTTTTATTGGTTAATATTTATATTGCTTAATTATCGTCTTAGTAACCCTGGTGGATAATATTATAATTATTTATTTCATTGGTTATTCTTAATAATACGTTTAATGATTAATTTGTATAAATTAATTTTCTTATTTTATACGCTATTCTTATTTTGAAGCATTTAATATATATATATATATATATATATATATAATTATATTTTAAAAACAAAAATAACCTCGTAAAATAAATAACTATTTTAAAAAGTAAAAACGTACACTCCTACTTATATTTTTTTTCATAAAATTTTGTTTAGACAAACCAAATCTCGCAATGAATGGGACGGTGCCACTCTCATAAATTCTAACATAGCGTGCAACAGTTTATTACCCCTCTGGGGTATCAATATTACGGAAACGGCCTTCGTTCAATCACTGACAAAGTTTTTATCGTTCATTTTTTTTAAAATAAATATAAAAGTGATATCAATATTTAAGTTATAAACGTTTATAATAAGATTTTCTTAGAGGAAGACATTATAATAAAAAAACATGGATTTTTATAGTACTGCAACTAATGAGAGAACATTCTCTTCTATTGAAATCAAATTATGATAAAAAGCAGGAAAAATAGTAAAGTATAAAAGAGCACTTTTTTAAAAGTTGGTTACTAAGAGGTTGTATTAGTATCAGCGGTTACTTTCTATTTTAACCAATGCTATTGCTCAATTTATAGAAATGAATATCGCCTAAAAAGATGGTATCATTGTATATCTGGGTTGGTTTAGTTATGTTAAGGTTTAATAGAGTATATTAATGCTGAATCGCGGATTAGTTATTCTCATTACAAAAAATTCGTACAGATTTTTTAAGTGTATCAGGGATGTGGCATCTCTAAAGGATATAACTCACGAAACCGTGGCTTACAATATCAAAACACTCATTTCGCGGCTGGCCGAAGAGAAATATTTTACTGACGATATAGCCGTAGGTACCAAGGAGAGCAATATCAAACTTTTGCCTTATCTTATGAACATAGCACTCTATTTGACCATTCAGTAAGTATTATATCTAATTTCTTTCTTAATTTTTTTTTGTTGTTTTTGTTTTGTAAGCAACCATTATTTAATGTGATTTAAAACTGATTGATATTCAACGTTTAACTTAATTATTCTAAAAAATCAGTTAATGATCTCTTAATAACCTTAGGGCTGATAAAATAAATGGTCCCCGTATGTTACCTTATCTCTCCCTTTTTTTAAATAGACATAAAACTCACCAAAACATGGAAAGCAACCTAAACAGTTTCATAAAAGTTTACCAGAATCTGCCTTTGAGTGAAGCGCTGTCCAAATTGTCTAATAGTACACACGACGATGCCTATTTTTATAGCGTCATATCGCTCTTAGCCACGGATTCTGAATGGTGGTACCTTAATGGACTTGCAATGCTCAAAAATAGTATTCTCCTGGAATATCTGAAAAATTTTAACAATGAAAATATTCTTCGTGAACCCATGATATTAGAAACTAGGTTTTAATTTATTTTTTGTTTCAAATGGCAAATATCCAGTTTTTGGAAAACAAATATTTAAAAAAATATAATCGATACTTTTTTTTAAAAAGGATAATTAATGATAGCTTATTAAATTAATTTTTTATTTACTCTAAATACTATATCAAACGAACTAGTGAAGGTCAAGAGATCGAAAAATATTTTCGTTTTTACCTAATTTATTTCTTATTTATTGGAACTATAAGTAAATTGCTTCTTTGAAAAACTTATGGTTTTCATATTGCAAAATAAAAATGAACTAAAAATTCACAAAAACTATAAAAAAAGATAACAAAAAATAAAATAAACAAAAAAATTAGGTAAAAAAATAATATTAATTGAATAATGATGCAAACTTAAATATTAATAAAAGACCTGTCTGGACTGTGGTTCTCAAAAAATATCTGCCCATCTATCGGTCCGATCCAGGTCTAAGACCCATAGGACCGGACCCCACTTTATAAGATGGTTAACTATTTTATTGTAAATCCTATAATATTTTCTATCGCATTCATTTATTATTTAGCTTTTCGGAGTTCTTGATGACATATTCAAATTACAAGACACCTTTGTTGTTTTACATGATATGTAGCGGCATCTATCAGTTGGTATTTAAGGTATAATATGCTTGAAAAAATTTTTTAAGCTTAAATATCCTAATTTATAGGACGTAAACATGGGCGATAAAGATTCAAATGTTTCATGGCCACAAAAATTGAGCAATTATATTCGCTTAAACGACGAACTGATTTTGAAAGGTTGCCAAGAAATGCTTAAGCGTTTCGATATCTGGATAACTTCTGAATCCGTCGAAGAACTTTTCATCAAAAACGGTAAAAAAAAAGCATTAATATTAGAAAGAAAGAATTGGGATATTAATTATTAATCTATTTTCAATTATTATTATAGATATGACTGTTAATGTAGAGGGCGTGAAAGAAATTTTCGATATACTCAAAGCGGGATGTACCAAAAATCAGCATAATATATGATATTATAACATTAATATATACGTATTTTTTTTTAAAAAAAATAAATGTATATAATTTGATTTTTAATATTATAATATTATAATATTCTATATTTTTTTCTTTTATTTTTGGGTTTTTATAATGAATTCGTTGCTTTTCTCGTATTTACTTAGCTTATGTTATAACATTTTTTTAAAAAAAATATATATTACTAAATGTCGCATATTATTTATTTTTTGATTATAATAAAGCCAAGGTAGGTTAAAAAAATTATTTTTTTAATATTGATACTATACTTATTCATTGCGATTTGTGATTATTAATAATTTTATATAAGAAACGCGTTAAATCGGGGAATATTTTGCACCAACTTGTGCACCCAAAATCATCCTAATAAAAGCGAAGGAATAAGTATTTTAATCATTTCTAGAAAATGTTTGAACAATTTAAAGCTTATCTTTTAAATTGAATAATTTGCTCATTTGTCGGATATCATATATCTGTCAATTATTTACTTGTATAGTGTGTATTCATTGAAATTGTCACATCTAGATTAGATTACACACCTGAAATGGTGATTCCATTATTAACAAGAAACATAACCCTAGAAACTTAAATATTTTAACTTATAATCATTATTTGATTCTTTCCAGAAAGAAAAAAAATATGAGTACAAGGTTTTAAACCATAATGAATACAAATTCAAGCAAGTTCAGAAAAAAGAAAAGGTTCAGGTTACCTTTAAAAATAGGTTCGAATCTTTTATTTTGCAACAAACTTTTGGAATTATAGAGACGCATAGCCTAAAAAAAATAGGATCTCTAATCCACGTATAACTACCGTTACAAGTAAACGCAGTCAACATAAGACTGGCCAAAAAAATTCTCCGGTCGCAACTGTTATAAGCCAACGTCATCGAGCAAGCCCAGCTAGGTAAATCTGCTCCGCTATACATCTTTCCCAAACCAGATTGATCCACGAGATTCATCAGTGAATTCTCACAAACTTCAACAATTTCCTTAAATATTAATTGCGGTTAACATCAATACCCCAGATATCCGCAAATTTGGAGAAGGCTGAGATCGCCTGCAAAATAAACATCAAATCTAGTCACTCCTATATCCGACATGGAGAAGAAATTAATCGGGGTTTTCTTCAACGATATTTCTTATAGATATATTGTCATCATACCAGTAGGAGCATCCTTCAGGCCATACATCATCTAGAACATGCAATTTATTTTAACTATAAAATTATTAAATGTTTTAAGAATATATTAATGTATAATTTTTAAGATTTAATGTATTGTTTTTAATAATTAATGTATGGTTTTTTATTTAATATATTTTTTTAAATATTTTATATATCGGTTTTAATATCTAATATATAGTTTCTATTATTTAATATATGATTTTTAACAGTGGCGTCACTAGGTGGGGCACAGGGGTTAGAGCCCATAACTAGTGTTGTTAAACGGCTCGTTTGAAGCCGATTTTTAAAAACACTCAATATTTTAGCCAGAAAAATATTGCCTGAGCCTCAAGATTTCGAAAATATGTCTAGACCTTTGTTCCTTCTATGAGCAAAATCTTCAGGCTTAGGGTAATATTTTTATGGATGAAGTATTGAGTTAGCCGTTTAAATCGGTTCAAAATGAGTCGTTTAACAACATTACTTATAACCCCCTGAAGTAAAAAATTTTTTTTTAATGGCTCCTTAATATCAGCTTGAACTAAAAAAATATTTTTTGATTGAACGATTTCTATTATAATTTTATTAAGTAATATATATATAATTATATTATTTGAAAATTAATAAGTGTCTAAATTTTTATTAAATGAATACATTTTAAAGATTCGATTAGATTAATACATTTAAATTATATTTTCACTATGACAGCTTGCAATCAAATTCTGTGTTAAAAATAGAATATCAATATCACTCACTAAATATTAGCATTAACAGTTGAAGTTTAATTGAATTTTATTACTTAAATTATTATATAACCCTATTTAAATAAATATAATAATTTATTAATTGAAAACTAATAAATTTAATATTGCAATTAGCCGAGTTCAAAATCACTATTCAACTATATATTCATTTTTGAATTTAATTATTATGCCTCTTCCTTAAAATATTTTAACGATCCAAATATAAGAGATTTCTTTATAAAAATTAAGTAGTCATATAGTTTATATTTATAATCCTCTATTATTTATAATTGGTTATAAAATATTAGGCAAAATGCCGCTTTTACAGTCATATTTGACAGTTATATAATATATTACACATTTTAATAAATTTTACTAATAAATGCTTTTGTTAATAAATATAAGTAACAATTTGCATTCAATTAACGCAATCTATTTATTTATAAATATTATTTAAAATTAAACATATTATTCACCTCACAATGGATGTAATAAATTAGATATATTTTCATCTCTCTTTTTACGTAGAATAGCTATTCTTTTCTTCTTTGAAAAACATTTTTGAGTTAAATTTTTAATACGAGTATATTTTTTATATTATTACAAACTACTATTATTTTAAGATATATGATTCCAACTAGAGGTAATGTAGCAATAATATATAATATCTTAATTGCTTTTTCTATATCACTCTAGTTATTATTTTATAGTTACAAAATGTTTCATTTCTAAAAGGGCATCCTTGTTATGTAATTAACTCAAGGCTTTAATATATTTACATAATTTCTTCTAAAGATTTTTAGTGTTTTTGTTTTATTAACTTATCTAACATAATAAATAATGCGAATCTTTAAACATTAACTTAAACCAGCCTTCCCCTATCCAATTATAGTTAGATAAAATTAGGACAGTAGGTATGGGTGTTGTCTTATTTGGCCCTGTCCCTTTCTCAATCAGCCCATAGACGTTTAAACGATAATCCTTGGACTATTGTGCGTACAAGTACGTACGGCTTGCCCACAAACGTGTAAAGGGTTTCTCATATTTTCTTCCCCACCTTAATAAATCCAATTAGATGGTGAGAAAAACCTAGCGTAGCTCTGTTGTTTTTACAACGTTGAGAGGGCGAATGCGCTTTATCATGTATCACGTATATTCTGATAGAAGTTAACATCGTGAGTGTCATGGCTCTGACGCAAATTAACCAGCATCTATTATTTGTGTGGTTATATAATTTAAGATTATTACTACAGCAGCCGAGAACATATGATTGCATATTTTAGATAAGCAATAATGGTCAACTGTATAGTCGTTTATATATCATTAAAAATGGAAGATAATCTTATAGAAATTTAATATCTCAATAATTTTCTCGATTACTTATCTAGCTTCATCATGTCATCTAAGAGGAAGCAACCAGTGGCGTAGCTAGGAATTTTCCTTAGAGGGGGTCCATACATATAAAAGCTGGGGGCTTCGCCCCCAGAGCCCCTTTAACGGGCCTTCGGCCCTTTTGCCCGTCCTTCGGCCGGGTTTATCTTACAAATCATAATCATATCTTCGATAATATATAATAAATATATTTTTTAAATGCATCAATAATGTGTTATTATAATTTAGTAGATTATTCTCAATGACTTTATAATAATACTATCCAGAATAATTTCAATAGTAATATAATATCCTTCCACAAACATCAAAACCAGAAAAATATAATTCATATAAAATCACTTTTAAGTCTTTTGAACGTATAATCTAAAAAAAATTTTTGCTCTGGGAGGGGTCCAAACCCGAAAACCACCCCCGTAGCTACGCCACTGGAATCAACTATCATATAGTTGATTTGGATTGGTCGTTTATAATCTCTTCTACAAAAATTATTGATTTGGCTAAACCGGTATGTAAATCAAGATTAAACTTTATATGTCAATTTAAGTTGATAAAAATATATTTATATAAAATTTTATGTTAATAATTATCTATCAAATGTTGACATATATCTTCAAGAAATGAGAAAACACCAAAAGGCTATGGTCCAATCTAAATATATGTACCAAAAACGGTCAGTGGTAATTGCCATGCCCGTTTTATAAATCAGGATCCTATTTTACTTTAGAGAACTGTTCTGGAGGTAGTATTAGATGAGAGATGCTCCCACTGGTAGGATGAATGGTGTATCTGATCTGTAAGAAATAACTTTGAGAAAAACCCGATTAATTTCTTCACCGTATCGGATAAAGGAGTAGCTAAGAAAGCTGATATGTTGATTTTGCAGGCGATCTCAGCCTTCTCCAGATTTGCGGACATCAGGGGGATTGATGTTAACCGAAATTAATATTTAAGGAAATTATTTAAGCTTGTGAGAAATCACTGATGACTCTGGTGGATCAATCTGCTTTGGGAATAGCAGAGCAGATTTGACCTAGTTGGGCTTGCTCGATGACTTTGGCTTGTAACAGTTGCCACTGGCGATTTTGTTGGCCAGTTTTATGTTAACTGCGTTTACTTGCAACGGTCCTTGTATATGTTAATTAGAGGGATTCTCATTTTTTAGCCCAATAAGTTTGCAAGATAAAAAATTTGAACCTATTTTTAAAAAGTTAAACCAAACATCTATTTATATTTTTCAAGAACCGAACCTGAACCTTTTCTTTTTTTCTGAACTTGCTTGAATCTATATTCATTATGGTTTGGATCCCTGTAAACTCAAATCCCCCTGGTGTCCGCAAATCTGGAGAAGGCTGAGATTGCCTGCAAAATTAACATCATATCAGCTTTCTTAGCCACTCCTTTATCCGACACGGCGAAGCCGTTTTTTCTTAACGATATTTCTTACAGGTACACCATCATCCTACCAATGGAAGCATCTTTCATTCTATATTACCCCCAGAGCAGTTCTCTAAATCAAAATAGGATCCTGCTTTAGAAAACGGGTATGGCAATTACCACTGACCATTTTTAGTACATATATTTAGATCGGACCAAAGTTTTGGTGTTCTCGAAGTCTTCTTATTTCTTGAAGGTATATATCTACATCTGATTTGAGATAATTATTAACATAATATTTTACATCTATCATTTGCCAATCTTATTAAATTATCATTACTATTTATATAACAGTAAAACCTGCTTAATTTAGACGCCATTAGAGTTAAGA